GACTTGCACCCGACTATTTGCTCTTTGCACTTTGTGATGAACTATCACTGAGCAATTTCCTTGTGAGACCCGAGTGATGTAGTTGCATCACTTTACTTCTGAGACTGTTTCAGCACAAAACATTTTCCTCTTTCCGTAATCACCCAACCATAATCCCTGAAAAGAAAACCAAGGGTTTGATTTTGAAATACAAACATAAAATTCTAGATAAAGAATTTTTGGCTGTCATTCTTACTCGATTTAACAATAAGCTGATTGGTTGACGATAAAAGGTTTAACGGAACAGTAGAAGTCAAAACAGCGAGTGTCTTAAGTCTTTTGCGCTGGGAAGCAATACGCCGACTGAGATAATTATCTCACCTTTCGGCCTCTGTGGTTTTCCTGTATGTGCGTGTTCCTCTATCTGATTACTTGAGTGATCAAATTTATAATGAAAACTTTGGGTCCGTGATGAGACCGCCTAAAATTGCGATGTAAAAGGATGTCTTTTCATATTTGTATGTGTACTACGGCTGTGTTAGACTTTTTTTTTCGGTGAAGTTTGCTAGTTGAAACTCGTCAAATAGGCTTAAATTGCCGACATTTAGCCTACGAGAGAAAAGACTAGCTGGTTGTTTTGTTTAGTTCTGATCCACATAATATAGTTTGATACTACAATCACTTGATTCTAAAATCCTTTCCAAAAACAATCGTTGCGTAAAAGATTGCGAAAGTTCATATTAAATTCGAGCTCCTTATATGAGCATTGATATCTGAGTGCAGCTGACTATGTTTTCAAGATGACAACTTGAATAAACAATCTAAAATCTGGGAACTCACTCTAGGAACTCGTTCACCTCGAGCAAGCTACAACCAGCGGCAAAAAATCTTGGTATGCTTCTTGTTTTTTTCCTAACCTAGTTGTGATGTTTCCCACCTCTGACTCTCTGGCCACCTCTAACACAATTTTGAGTCGATTATACCTGACCTTACGGCTGGAGTTCAAATCTGCTTTTGAATGGAAGGGAACTCCTCCCTTAAAATAATAGGAAAAAGCTTTTAGAACACAGTGATTGATACTCTAAAATTTTTAAACGGCTAAAATCTGGCAAATGATTCTGTCTCGTGACGAAAGAGGTGATCAAAACGTATCAAATATCGAGTAGCGTTCGGCCAACGTTTCAATGTGCAACTCTGTTTAAAAAAAATAGTTTGGGTTCTTTTATATTTGAGTTGCAAAAACACAACTTGCACTGGATCTTGGACATTTCCTCTCGATGATCTGGAGTCCTGTATTTCTCAGCTCCCATCAAGCGCAAACGCGGCTGATAGCCTAGAAGATTAGGCTGGGATTCCGAGCAAAAAAAATTCAAGTTACCGCTGCCGCATTTAGATGGGAAAAGTACACAATTGAATCACGTGACTGACCCACTGCACGGTCTCGGTGAATTTCAATATGTGCTGTTAGAGATTAAGAGCGGTCCCTCCTTTGCGGCGAAGTCCGTCGCGCGAGTTAAAAAAAAGAGAATCAGAGCCAAAAAAAAGAGATGTTAGCGCGCTGGCGGGAGCTCTCGGAGTGGGGCACTAACATTTATTTTTTCTTCACTGATTTTTTCGACCTGCGCCACAGACTTCGCCGAAAAGGAGGAACTGCTCGAAGTGGTAATGCTGTTATCGCCAGTTACGCCGAATAAAATCTAGTAGTTTGGTCCTGAAATGTTCATACATACTCAATCTCTAAACTCAAATATAGAAACTGATACAAACTATTTTTTAAATAGTTTCTTATTAAAACGTGGACCGATCGCTAGGCGAGACAGAATCATTTGCCAGATTTTAGCCGTTTAAAATGTTTAGAGTATCAATCATTGTGTTCTAAAAGCTCTTCCCTACCATCTTTCCGTTTTAAAACAGTTAAAATCTAATTTCATGAAGCTCTTAATACGGAACGGTCGGAGTTTGCTACACGGACTAATTTGCATAATTCTGCTGCCACGCCGGAAAAATCACCAAAAGTTTGAACTCACTACGGCGAAGGAAATCAATAAATGCAAGATGTTTTTACATTTCTCTGCTTTCGAATATCTTATTCGAAGAAATCAACCGGAGTTTGTATAGTCTTGTCTGAACTTGAGTCATATCATCCAAGAAAGAGTACTTTTGACCAATTTTAGACAGCTGTCTAACGGGTGTTTTTAAATAAATTATGGCGAACCTCTAAATAAACACGTCAAATTTGAAATGCTTTCAAAACTCCTTAGATATCACACAATTTGGGAATGTAAACGATTTCTTGTTGCATGCAGTGTGTTACGAGGAGCGAGCTTGTCAACTTTTGAAATTTTCGATGTCGCAAGAGGTCAAGGAAGGGCCTTGAGCTCTCCAATTTTTTAAAGTATTTCCAGAAAACAATGTGGTTTTATTTACTTACTACCAAAGATAGTTTAATGGGCACGGTTTGAGGCAAAACGTTTTTCCGATGCGGCCTGGACCGCTTTTACAGAGATCGCCACCAATATTGTCTGTTCTGGGACAGAACCTAGCTGTTGGGATCTAAATTTCAACTTCAATGACTACCTTTGATTTTAATTTCAGCATCTTTCAAAAATTACAGCTGAAAGTTATTGCGTTTGCCGCGAATACGAGAAACTTCTGCCACTTTCTGAAGAACTTGTGGTTAGTAACTTTAGAAAAAAAAGGCTATGGGCCGTATGCCAGGGCGATGTTCATCGCCTTACGTTATTGTGCAACACAAGACATTAATTGCTAGTAGTGATTATAATTATACCAATATCATTATTATTCCATTAATTGCGTTTTTTAAATGGCAAAAATTAAACTGTTTAACAGCTTAATGATTTCACAAGAAAGCCGAATTAGAGCTTTAGACTGTTTGAGTTACACGGTTTCAGAGATAGCTGAGGAGCAATAATGCGCTTTTCGCTTGAAGTGGCAAACGTCGCTGTCGAAAACCTCTTGATCTATGATTTATGCCGGAAAAAAAATTATGACCCCTCTTGATAAACACAGTCATTTAATTACAATTTGGCAGACCTTTCGCCTCACAAATGCTCGCAAGTTGACCGTTTGTAATCACAATTTTATGGTGAATATTCACAACGCATATAATAAGAATTTGTATTTCAGTTGCTATCTGCTATTCAAAGAGGTTCCATGTTGTAATCCTAAGAGAAGCGAAACACATGCGCTTCCAATCGTATGTTACAACACCGTGATTTTAGTGGTATTATCTCCAAGAATCAAATAGATATCTGCTGATAAATATTGCAGCCAAGTTTTTGAGTCATTGTAACAACTACAAAGCCGAAAAGGATTTCTGACGCCAAGCAAAGAATAGTGTTGGAAATTCATGATTACTAATTTGACTTCCCTTATCTCTCGGAATGATACTAATCTGGTAACATATGGAAATGTTTTCAAATTTGCCTTAGGAATAGTTATTGTTAAACAGACGTTTATAAAGAATGTGTGTTTTAATAAAAAGAGCGTATAAACATCTAAATTTCGGACATGTTTCAAGCAAATAGTCCTTGTGCGTTTTTTTTTCCGAGAAACGATACTCGAACATTACTGTGTGGAAATATGAGCCAAAAGACAAAATTGGGATTTGAATGATGGCCAATTCGTTCCAAGTTATGAAAGCTAGAGTTTATTTGTGTCGACAGATCACAAAAGGGTGTTAAGTAATTATTTAACTTTTTATTCTTTTGAAGAACTCAGATTTGAAAAGGTAACAAATTGTTGGTTCTGAAATATATTGCTGCAGCTAAGATGTGTTATCAATACTGTACTCTCGCTTCGTTTGTGCAAAACTCTCCAAGTATTCTTAACTTCTAAGGCACTGTAAACGACTAAAACGCAAATTCTATTATTCAAAATTTGTTTGAGTCGTGAAAATGTCACTTTTGAAAAATTGCAAATTGATTTGCACAAAGGGAAATAATCTTTTGAGTATCGTGTACAATAAAAGCTGCCGCTTTCGAGAGAAGTACGTTGTCAATCAAGCTTTAAGGGTTGTTTGCATTGCTGAGGTTCTTGGCAGTTCGCGCGTGAAAAACCGTTTGTAGATTTTGCGTACATTGTTATTAAGTAATTAAGAAAAACCAGCAAAAATGACAAATGACGCAAATACGTCGATGAATTATGACAGGAAACGATCTTTCTTATCTCCTTTTGTTATCTGGGTAAGAGTTCACTGCACCTACTGTTAAAGCGTGATAGATTTGACTGAAAAGCCTCGATGCTCGAAAACGAAATACTATATTAATTTTTTCTGCTTGATGAAAAGATACGAGGTGACTTCGTCAAGTGCTTCCGAAATTAGCTTCGAAAAAAGCGATTATAATCGCTCATTTTGAGTCTCGTATCAATGTGATCCCTAATAATGTCGTAGAAATATATTCAGAGGACAGTTCGTGAAATTCAGGCCTGATAATTTAGATGACCTTTGAAAAAGCTACTGCCGCTAAAGTTTGATCGTATTCCAAATATCTCCAAGTGTATTTTCGTTCATTATGCTTTGTTTAAATATATTTGTTTGCCGGAAAAAAAAAGCCGATAAACGCATAGCTGTCGTTTCTTAAAGGCTTACCAGTGGCTTACATGGTGAACTCGCAATCACGTAAACAGTAAGAAGACTGTTTTGGCAGAGCAGAAGATAAATTATTCCCGATTGAAGGTGCTACGCCTACTTACGAGTGAGTTAAATTATGATTTTTTCAGGTTAATAGTTGGATAACAGATCTGAGCTGACAAATAGTCTCCGCCCAACGTGCCACATATAACGCTGGTATGCATTTTTCTGTTAATTTTCCAGGGCAAAGACCTTGAAAGATACTTGTCATTGGACAGATATTTCAGCTTAGGAGAGTGCCTGAAATTTCCACTAATTAAGTGATCTTTCAGCGACATTTGTCGGAATATTAAGACATCGAAAGAAGCTGGTCTTCGGTGAGCCAAAAAGCAGCTGCCTTGTGAGTTATCGTAAAGGGAGAGTACCTATGGCGTCGAGGACAATGTTGATTGCTGCTTTCTTCGTGTTTGCAATGGGTGAGTCCATTTTAGTCCAGTCGGCGGATGACACCGTTGTCATTACCACGAGATATGGATCAGTTCGTGGAGTAATCCGTCGATTTCAAGGTATCAACAAACCCATCAAAACCGTGAACAAGTTCCTTGGTATTCCATACGCCGCGCCACCGGTGAACGAACTGCGGTTTAAACCTCCAAAACCAGTCTCCACTTGGCAACCCTCTACCTACGACGCCTCATATTATCGAAGTATTTGCACACAGCCTGGTGACTACAACATACTCTTCTGGCCGAATTTCTCGCATCCTGAGAGCGAGGACTGTTTGTACCTGAACGTGTATACACCCCACCACAACGGAAGTTTCGGGGCCGTAAAGAGATTATACCCGGTCATGGTGTACATTCACGGAGGGGGATACGAAGTGGGTACTCCTGTTGTATCCCCCGGGGACATTGTACCCCTGTGGGAGGTGGTGCTCGTCACTATACAATATCGTTTGGGTCCGTTTGGTTTCGTTACAACCGGCGACTCTGTAGCCCCAGGGAATTATGGAATGTTGGATCAGATCGAAGCTTTGAAATGGGTCAAAGATAACATTGAAATGTTTGGAGGAGACCCTTCAAGTGTTACCATATTTGGTGAGAGCGCCGGTGGTTCCAGCGTGGGACTGCATGTCCTGTCTCCTCTCTCGAAGGGCCTCTTCCATCGCGCTATTGCAATTAGTGGAGTGGAACTTTCTCCTTACGCAATAGGCTCCAATGTAACTGCAGTTGTACACACGAACGATTTGGCTAAAAAGCTTGGGTGTGCCACAGGTGAAACCGCTGCCACCATATCATGCCTTCGCTCAAAGGAAGCTCAAAAACTCCTTTTACTTGACAGAGCCAACATTTGGAGACCTGTGGTGGACGGCAACTTTCTTCCAGATACCCCTGAGGAGCTCAGAAAATCTGGCCGCTTTAACAAAGTTCCACTAATGGCTGGCTTTACAAGCCAAGAAGGCGCATATTTTTTCCCGAGTCAAATTGAAAACGTCACGCCCACAACTTTCCGCAAAAACCTGTTATTTGCCTTCAAATACATCCTCAATAAATACGGACAAACTTTGGAGACTCCAAACAGAACTGAGGTTCCTAACTCTCTCCTAGACGCAGCCGTTTTTCAATACACACCTTGGCCTTACGCTTCGGACAGTCATAAACTTAAACGCGGTTTTTCTGACGTGATCACGGATTCCTGTGTGGCGGAGCCCGCGCATTCAAGTTTGAGGTACCACAGCACGCAGCAACGGGCTTTTCTGTACGAGTTTGCGCATCGCTCCAAGCTCGATCCAGAGCCCGAATGGTTGGGAGTACGCCACAAGGACGATACACCATACCAGTTTGGTTTCCCACTTATGAACCTCACCGTGTTACAAAATTACGACGAAGCCGACCGCAACATAAGTGACACGGTTTTAACACTTTTCACGAACTTTGCCAAATTCGGAAACCCGACGCCTGAGCCCGTCTTCGGGGCTTCATGGCCGGCATTCAACCAGAGTCATTTGGCTTATTTCCTAATTCAAGGAAAACCGACGCATGCGAGTAACTATCGACCAACCAAGATGGCATTTTGGCGTGAGTATTACAAAACATTGCTTAAAGAGAATAATTGTCCTGAAGTTGTCTCTTCTACAAGTAGAGGAACACAGTTGAAAGATGTACGACTGATGAAAGCTATTTTTTTTTCTCACATGATCCTTATGTTTTGGCTGTTTTGATCCGCGCTTAAGCCTGGTTCAAACGGTCATGATAGTCGAGGATAGTTTCAACAATTACGCGCGTTTGTACACGAACCATCATGCACTATCATCGACTATTATCGACTATCATCAAGTATCTCGTAGTTTGGACACGTTCAAATTCCACATGATAATTGATGATTGTTTTTACCGTTTGAACGAGCGGATGATAGTGTATGATGGTTTTTATCTCACTGCGTGATTTTTTCAACTATCACGAATCGTTTGAACGCAAACAATATAGTCATTGATAGTTCTAACTATCAGCGACAATCATGACCGTTTGATCCGCGCTTAGGAAGTGTTTTCATAAATCCGAGTTTTGTAAACAGCATAATTGCCGATGAGAGAAGGAAAATATCACCGCATGTGTAATCTTTTATTGCTACACACGAATTGATCTTATTAGTGAAAGCTAACTGATGGGCCGCGAATAAAGTTTCGAAAGCTTCCCGGTTCTGGGCTCAAGTTATTTGCTGCATTCCACTATCAATTCAAAATGTTTTAAAACAATGTCATTTAAAATTGCGAGTAATGTCAGCTAACTATTACACTGTAAGTACTTTGTTACGAGAACAAAATCTGATATAAAAATTTACCGCGTTTCAAGATCAATGTCATCAGTTGACTGTTTTTGGGTCAGGGGAGGGGTAGGCAAGCAGTTGCTCAGATACTAACATTGCTCCGCTTTTCATTATCCAGATGAGAATTAAAGACTTTAAGGCCCAGTTTTATCTTAAAGACAGTTCATTCTCCGAATCGCCATCTATAATAATAGTGCATAATACCATACATATACCTGAGAATGTTAAAGGTTCAAATGACATCGTTGCTCATTATGTTACTAAAATTTACTTTAAAGAATAAAGGACATTAAGTTTTGACTGTATTTTTTTTTTAAATCTCCATTCACTTTTATTTCTTCTAGAGAAAGAACTGTCAGAGAAAATAATTCTGCCTTCAAATAACTGTCATGGTTAATGGTTCTACCAGGTTAAGGACAATCACCGATCAAAGTCTCATAATGGGAATATTCCGTCCTTTCGAGTCTCGGATGCCCTAGGGGGAGGGGGATAATTGGTGATTAGGGACCGTTCAATATTTATCGTCTGGGGGAGGGAGGGGGGGTAGAAGAATCCCACAGCCCCCCATCCCTACCCCAAAGGCGTATCACTAATATTATTTCTCTTTCCCATTGCATCTCAAGTTCAAAGTCCCCAGTATCTCTAACGGCATCTGGAGGTTTTTTCCTCATAGCAAGTTCGCCCTATACTACCTTTTAGAGTTCTCCCCTAAAGTAAAACAAGTCCGCCTCCACCTTTACAAGTTCGCCCCCAACTATTTCAACTTGTTTCCTTTCGGCTTTCTTGTAATATGATTCGAGCAAAAAAAAAAAAAAATCTTGCCGTAAAGGAACGAGCTGAAACATTTGGGGGCGATTTCGTTTTACTTCAGAGGCCATCTTGCAAAGGTGATGGGGGGGGCAAATTAAAAGGGGGGAAAACCTCCACAAAGCTCTCTACCTATTTAATTTCTAGTCTTAAAGAAGGGTAAGATAACAGAATTTCATTAAATTTTCAAACTAGACCTGTTTCTTCTACATTTTTGTGCTAAAGGGTAGTCCTACGTTACATTTCTTTATTTTAAACACCAGCCCTCTAATGTGAAAATTCAGGCAAGTCGACATAAAGCCTTGAGCAACTGATCGCTACAGCACCACTGTTTTTTTGCTCCTCTGAAAAGACAATCCTTCAGAGACATTAAAAATCTGGGTGCTACCTTTTTCCGTGACTTCAGATGATTTTGTTCTCTAATTTTTACGTGACAAATGGAAATATTTTTTCTTATTAATCAAAAATCATGTCAAACAAAAAGACGCAAGAAAAGACGATAAAGTTACGGAAAAGGAAGCACCGTTTAAGAGCACCAGATGTAGAATGGCAGGTGTGGGGTTCCTCTAACAACATCCTCTCGTAGAACTCATTCCAAAACGCCATTTTGGTTGGTTTGTAGTTGACAGCCATCTCAGGCTGCGACTGGACACGAAGATACACCATGTGACTCGTGTTGAATCCTTCCCATGATACACTGTTGACAGGCTGTGGTGTGGGTTTACCATATTTGGCAAAGTTCGTAAAAAGCGTGATTAACATGTAGCTTAGGTTTCGGTCTGCCTCGTTATACTGTTGTAAAACGGTTAGATTCATTAAAGGAAACCCGAACTGGTACGGGGTGTCATCCTTATGTGAGGGTCCTTTCCATGCGGGCCTCAGGTTGAGCGTAGACATATGTGCAAATTCGTACATGAACACAGGAGCGTTTTTACTGTGAAGAGCCAGATCTGCATGCGTTGGAGCACTCATGGTGAAGTCCCCGACTTCATCTGCTAATGCAATTTTCACCTTAATGTGATTATTTTGATCGGGCCACGGTGTATACAACAACATTAAGGTATCGAGAAGAGTCTTTGGAAGATCTCCGTTCAACATTTGTCCATACTCGTTGCCAATCGTATTAAATACCTCCTTAGTTCGATGAAGGAAATCTTCAGGCGTTGTGTTCTCGAGGAATTGTGGGAAAAAGTAGGTGCCTTCCTGGCTAGTAAACCCTGCCAAGTACGGAACATGATGGAAATTTCCGGCCCTTCTCAGCTTTCGTGGAGTGTCTAGAAGAAAGTTTCCATCAACTATGGGCCTCCACACATTTACATCCTTCACTGAGAACTTCAAGGCGTCAATCGAACGTAGACATTTGATCATTCCACCGCTATCCTCTACTTCACAACCCACCTGTTTGGCGGCCATCTTGCTCTGTTTTGTTACTTCTTCGTTTGACCCAATGGCAAAAGGGGAGAGGTCCACTCCGCTGTTCGATATTGCATGGTGAAAAAGACCCTTCGTAAGAGGGGACAAGAGTAGAAGGCCTACGCTGGACCCTCCAGCGCTCTCACCAAATATGGTAACCGCCGACGAATTACCCCCAAAGGGCTCTATGTTGTTTTGGATCCATTTTAGAGCCTCGACCTGATCCAACATTCCATAATTTCCAGGAGCCTTTACGTCACCAGAAGTAATGAACCCAAAGGGGCCTAAGCGGTATTGTATGGTCACCAGAACGACACCCCATAAGGGGATCACATCTCCCGGACTGACAGCGGGGGTTCCAGCTTCATAGCCCCCTCCGTGAATATAAACCATGACTGGAAAGAGTTCCTTGGAGCTCGAGTTCCGATGGGGTGAATACACATTTAGATACAAGCAATCTTCGCTTTGTGGAATGGAAAGATTTGGCCAGAAGAACTCATTGTACTCAGGATCTTGAATACAGATGTCCTTAAAATGCGAGGCATCGTAAATGGACGGGTTCCAAACCTGGGGGGGCTGCGGAGGCTTAAACCGTAACTCACCCACAGGCGGCGCTGCAAACGGAATCCCAAGAAATTTATCCACAGCTCGGATGGGCATGCTGAGGTCATCAAAACGACGAGTATTTCCCCTGACCGATCCAAATCGTGTTTTCACTATAATCAAATCATCTTCAGCAAAAGCTAAGAAAAGTCCTGCGATCATTAAAAAGGCAACTATGTAGCAGGTCTTGAAGAATACCATCGTTGTCGACTTGTCATGTAAAAAAACAGCGTTCCGTGCGTTATCCGACCGAAACAAAAGCAAAACAACCTCAAAGATTACCTAGGTCATATAATTGCTTGCAATCTCACACCGACAAATACTAGAAGGCTCCTTCCGTTTCCATAAATGAAAACTTAGTGACAGACAGTTTCAATCTGTCTCCCATTTGACTCGGGCTTCTTTCAACGCACAGTGACTTATAGAACTTGACCTCTGTTAGATAACTCAGCAAAAATGTTTTGCACGAGTTTATTTAAGGAAGTCGAGAACTTAATGGCCGCAATACAAATAATGTGGTCTTGATAACAGAGCATCCTTGATTATGAATAACAACTCGTTCAAGAATAAACGATTACCAATTAAGAAGTCATTACATTCCTCGACTCGAACATTATTTCCTTGAGGAAAAAAATGGTTCAACTTTGCTCCAACCCCACAAGCTAAATTCCTTCTTCTCGAGCTTCCTGATACCGAGGAAGCATCAAAAAAGATTAAGATTCGAAGCTATGCGTAATCGTGACACAAAGTATTTAAATTCAGCGATCATGATAAAAGTCAATTTTAGACGTTCTCATTCCGTAGAAACAATGAGATGTTTAGTTCAGGGAGGGGGGAGGGGGGGGGGGGAGAAGGCAGCTTGGAAAAGATTTGTTATCAAACACTTCGTCTTGAAATTCATTTAGGAGGTCAGGTTATTTTTTTCCGAACGTCCAAGAGATAATTAACCATAATTTAATTAACCACTTGATAATTTCAAAATCTACGTGGTGAGGTGTGATTTCTAGTCATAGAAATTACACGAACTAAAACGTCTAAAAATTCCCCTAACACGGCTTTCAGGTTATTCCGCACTCCCTCCACACCCCCTCCCCCCTTCTCTTTTCAAAATGTTTGGTTTAATAGCCTTTCAAAATCGCCGTGGGGGTTCAAATTCATAAGTGGCTTGGATTGCCTAAAGAAGTAAACAGTTGAGATTCGATTTTCAGCTGAAACAGATCACGCTTCCTAAAAGTCTTGATCTTCACAACAATCTCGCTCAGAAAGTGTCCCATCTACTTCTGACGGCCCTCCAATTCATTGCAGATCTGTTCGTTTTAATCTGAGGCCAGCCAAATCCTGCGACATGGAAAACAACTTACATCATCTGTGAGAAATGTCGGTGTTATTAAGTATCAAGTGTTCTCTAATGAACCGGCCTGCATGGCAGAAGTTCAATTTCTCAGCCAACCCTCGACAGGTGGTTATCAGATTTTATTCTTTATTTTTATTGACGTAGATGGAAACTAATGCCAGCATGTACTGAAAGCCTGTTGACGTCATAAATTTTGCATTCGTAGTAATTTTATCCGCTTAAGTTTCATGACCAGTAATCAAAACTTAACCTTGGCCATTTTCCACACCGCTTTTCAATGGCCATGGACTGTTTCCAGAGGAGAGTAATCACAGTGAGGCAAAAAGAACCCAGAGCAAAATATTATTACGATAATTTTTTCTCGGGGAGGGGCGGTTGAAAGATTTTGGTTGCGTCACAATAACATTTACCTGATCCTCCCCCCATAAAAAGCTCGATCCGTAGTATTCAAATGATTCCCCCTCCCCCCCCTCCCCCCGTCATTGGCCGTCAAATTTCTACAGTCTCCCCTCTATACTCTGTTAGCGACGACTCATCCCCCCTCCGGTCCCCCTTGAAACCATTTGATCCCCCCAAAATCTTCTGATTCCTCACGTGATAAATAATTACTGGTCCATGACGCCTCAAACGCGGGGAAAACGCGAATGATCTGGTCGCTGTTAGTTTTAGTTTTAGTTTTAAAGCTGAATCGTTAGGAAATTGGTGATGGTACTACACTACTCGTTTCAGTAGTGTTCTTAGCTGCGAGGATCTCCTAATTTCATGGTGTAGGTATATTCTTGACCAATCGGAGGGGGCGACGAACAAAACAAATGCGATCCCTTGTTTATTTTAAAGACTTAATTGGGGATTATTTTGGTCTAGACTATACGATTTTTATCTGTCTGATTGAAGATCAAAGTTACTGAAGAAGAAAGCGAGGAAACAATGACGAAAATGGAGGGGGAAAAAGTTAGAAAAATTGTCAGATATTGATACCGGACCACCATGACTACCAGTCCTGTGAGGAAATATTACCTAACTCTTAACCCAACAATGTTTTTGCTCGCACGCGATGTAGGTCTTGACCCATCACATGACAGAATATGCCCCAGCTAAAACTGGGAAACATCTAGTGCTGTATATACTCCAAGGGATGTTTCCTTACTTTTCAAACGTTACATCCACTAGCGGAAAACTCTGAAGTAACCTTAAATTTGACTCAAGATGAGAGAGCGTTTCGTTGTTGTTACAGAAGAAGAGACATTATTGTTTATAAAATAGTACCAGTGGGCACTGAAAAGTGAACATCCCACGCCTTAAACGATAGCCTATTCGTAAACATTTTTTCCAGCGCGTTACAAAATATTCGTAAGATGTTTGTTTGTTAACTTCCATTTGGCACGAGAATAAGTACTTGGACATTATCTATTCTTTGTAGCTCAGTTTTCTTCGAGCTTCGCTCTCGGAAATCTCTGCGCATCTTGGTAAAGATAATGTCTGTGAACAACTATCCGAGCATATTCTCACGCCACATGGAGTCTATTACTTATTTGTCAGCATCATGCTTAGTATACGATTATTGGCATGTAAGATTCATTCAACCTTGACGAAGTTTTCTTTCTCCTTGTCTCAGATATTTAAGATTTCAACAACCTTACTTTCCACTCAGAGACTTAATTAATATTCAGGAACGTAGTAATCAGTCATTTTGGACGTGCAATGCATGCTACACGGTTCGCGCGCGCATCTAAATACGAAAAGCGTGCTGACAAGTACCCTAATCAATCTTAGGTTCTCAGTATTGTATTGTAAAATCTCATTTTTTACCAAAGAAATTTAGTAAATCGAACAAATCAGGAGAATTATATAACAGGTATTTTTAAAACACAACCATACAAGAAAAAAAAAAGCCGTGTTCAAGTTTGATATGATAACACAACTTTTGATTTGGAAGACTTTCGGTGTCGTTAGGATTTAAACTCCACTTCAAAAGTGACGTGGCTAAGGCAAGAGTCATTGTTAATCGCGTGGGAGAGGGGGGTGGAGGATTTTTGGGGCAGATCATAGGGTTTCACGAACAGATAATTAAGGGAAAGCTTTAGAAAATTGACTGCCAATTAACTGTCAGTGATGGCGGGGAGCATTATGGGGGATAAAGTAGATTTTATGTGACATAAGCAAAAACCCTCAAGCCCCCTCCCCTCCCCCTTAACTGTTTGCTAAAAACAGAAAATTAGTACGATGGTTTAAATCAGTGGACTTGCTGATCATGGTGAGGCAAAACAGTTAGAGATTAGCAAAGACTTTTTAAAATTGTCAAAGCAAGAGTGGGCAAGACATGAATACTAGCAACTTTGGCACTAGCGCTAGTGATCTTTGTACCAAAGCCTACTTGAATTAGCTTAGGATGGTAATTGTTCCAAAATGCCACTCGACGAGGAGCAAATGAAGCGGCCATCTTGGATTTGTTGTCAACTCGGATGTAAGCTCTGTGACTCGAGTCGTACTTCTCCCACGTAACACCGCTGACTGGCAATGGTGTTGGATCGCCATACTTAGCAAAGTTTGTATACAGTTCCATGATCGTCAAACTAATGTCTTTGTCGATGTCATCAAAGAAAGGTAACGTCAAAGGAGCGCCAAAGTCAAAAAGCGCGTTTGCGTCATGAACCACACCCATCCACTCTGGCGTGAGACTCGCTGTCTTTGAACGGTGAGCGAATTCGTACATGTAAACTAGCGCGTATTTGCTGTGAATATCGGCCACCTCGTGACTTGGTGCAAAGAAGATGTAATCTCCAATTAGGTCGACAAGCTGACTTCTTAGTGCATATTTGTCACTGTTGTCAGGCCATGGGGTGTACATAAATTCCAGCGCGTCTGCGATAAGGACAGCGGTTTCGTTTCTGGAGATGAAAAGACGAAAGCATCAAGTTTGTCTGAGGATCGAGGATTATGGCTCCTGGTTGTTTTTTGTTTGTTTGTTTGTTTTTTTCCTTTGAACTGCAACCTGTTTCGCTTCGCCTTTGGAAGAGTTGGATAATTTTGGATTTGGTTGTGGGGAAACGGGAACTGTTGATGGTCAAATGTCTTAATTAAACTCCTTATCCTAGTTTAAGATGGGCATTAAATAAGACTGATTATAAATTGAAATATTTCACAAATTTCTTCCCAATTCTTTTAAGCTAGACTGAGAGATTCTGTTTTGTCATCCTGAAGGTTCACTCTTGGAAGCAAGTGGCACAAACTCTATTAAATATGAACGTTCTTCATAGACGGCGTTACGTCCCCACCACACCCACTTTATTCTGGGAAGCAAAGGGGGGGTACTAAAAGTTTTTCTACTTCATTTCAAGACATGGAACAACATTGACGACAAAGTTAAAACAATTTAAAACTAACCTGCTGCTTTGAGCATGTGCGAGCTCTGTTACAAACGTCTTAAAGTATGACGGGCTTACACCGTTGTTCACATTCTCTGTGAGTCCGAAAGAAGATTTCGCCATGGGGCCAAGAAAAGTTGAACCCTCGTTGCTGGTGAAACTTATCATCAACGGAACTTTCTTGAAATCTCCTCTTCTACGCATCTGTTGAGGAGAGTCATTGAGAAAATTCTCATCCACGATTGGAGCCCAACGGACGTACTGATGATGCGTATTCTTCACTGATTCCGCAGCTTTCTGTATTTCCTAGCCTTCTTTACCGCGTATGCAATCAACCATTAAGGTATGATCGCTTGTTGTGCAGTCCAGTTTTTTGGCAAGCTCTTTGGCAAAATGCACACCGATCGAAGTTGGTTGAGTTGCAAACGAGCTCAGATCTACTCCGCTCTCTGCAATGGCTTGTTGGAAAAGATTTTTTGACAGCGGTGATAGTAGATGAAGGCTGACACTTGTTCCTCCAGCGCTTTTTCCAAAGATAGTCACCTTGCTGGGATCCCCACCAAAATTCTTAATGTTCTCTTTGACCCATTTTAGAGCTGCGACCTGATCCAGCATTCCATAATTTCCGGAAGCAGCGGAATCCCCGGTGGTCATGAAACCAAATGGACCGAGACGGTATTGAATCACGACAACCACCACCCCATGAAGAGCTAACATGTCGCTTTGAAATATTAATGCAGTGCCACTTTCGTAACCTCCCCCATGAATATACACCATCACGGGTAAACTCAAAGTTACATTTGGGCTGTAGATATCGAGGTACAAACAATCCTCGCTGTAGACAAAATCTTGAGTGAATATTCGAATGAAGACCTCATAGTCGTCATCTTGCCAGCAAATGTTGCCGTGTTGTTTAGCTTGACGCACGTCTGGTTTCCATTGCCGTGGAGGATCTGGTGGTTTGAATCTGAGGTTTCCAATCGGTGGTGCAGCGAATGGAACTCCAAGAAACTTGCTGACAGACTTGAATGGTCCAGTAGAATTTGATAAAAACTTTCAACACCTTCAATGTCCCCATACTTTGTGGAAACCATGGTTGATTTGATTTGAGGCAAACACACCACGAATAAGAAAAGCTTCGCTAAAACCGTCGAAAACATCCCTGTTTACTTCTCTTAAAGATGATACGGACAAGTTTAACTCATAAATTCGTGACCCTATCGGAATATTGATCACCACCGGATAGGCATACTCAACATACCAGAAGTAACTCAAGCGTGTATAGGCAAGTTGGGTTTGAGACGAATTTATATATGTATAAACAATGCGTTTAATTGCTAATCGCAAGACTAGGCAAGCGTTCCTCATACCAATGAAGTTCGCGAAGGGAAACGACGTTTTAAACAGAACGAATTGCAATGAGAGTTGTTTTGTGGCAAAGTGGACAAGTTTAATTTCGAAAGAGAAGTTTATGAAAAAGTGTGATGAATTTTAATCTGAGCTGTTTGCGCACAACAGTGTGACTAGATGATAAATGTAAAGTGAGGTGGAGTAGATCATTAAAAATTAAAAAATCTTTGCACGTACATTTGATTTGCATATCATTCTAGAAAAATAAGGAAGTTATTCGGACGTACCAACAAAGAACTGGCAGACGAGTCGCACTCGGAAATTGCAAAAAAAAATGCATTTTTCTTGATATACATGAATTGTCGCGATTTGTTGAGTCATTTTTATGATGGACGAAATTGCCATACCTTCAAAGAGGGTCTTAATGGGGTTAACCGTTAGCTGTAAAACGGCCAAAAAATTTAGCCGTTAGGCGTAAAGATTGACAAATTTTAACCGTTAGTCGTAAAAATAGTTTACCGCAAACAATATGTCTTGTGGAAACAATGGAAAGGTGTTAACCGTTAGCCGTAAATTGGCCAAAATTTTAACCGTTAGCCGTAAAAGCCATCACCCCATTGAGACCCTCTTCAAATGTATTTCTTTATTCACTTAAAATGCACGATATTTATTATTTCAGTTAGGTCAATATATGTATCCTTTTAGTCGGGATAACCTCTTCTCCTTTAATAGCAATACTCATAGCTATGACACAAGGCACGCTTTTCGCTTACCATACTGCAAATATAACGCAGGTTCCGTTTTCTTTCAAAGTCCTGCATTTTTCAATACCCTTACTTGCAAAGTTAAAAACACTCCAACTCTAGCGTCCTTCAACTATTATTAACCTCCTTCTTTCTTTTTTTTTCCTCCTGATGCTAATCTGGCTTTACACCTATGCATCTTTTTCGATGTTTTGTGCGGCACAATCTTTTTGTTCCTTAATTTGAGAGAAAACCTAATCGCATGCAAGCATCGTGGTTTCATATAAATTTCCTCGCCACACACTTTGCTATATTTCACGTAGCTTATCGTGCTTGCTTGTAAATTTTTTATTGTAATATGGCAAATTAATCGATGAATAAAGATTTATTACTGAAAAAAAACTTCCTTAAACAGCGAGATAGAAGACGTATCGCAAATGAAGACCTTGAAAAGTTTAGGCTAAATATTTCTAGATAGACGAATATACTCATGTGGTTCATTCACTTGGACTTACCTCTGATTAAACCGTGCAATGTGAAATATTTATGAGAACAATTTGCCCAAGGCATACTGAAGTGTTTGTTCCATTATTGGATAAATAACTTGGCTATGAGATATCTGTATTTATTGGTTAGCACACCCTTCATCGAAGTTGATTATTCTTATATATCACTGCTTATAATTAAGTTCATAGTATTCCAATAAAGCAGTTGTGTAGCGGTCGTGACTTGGTCCATTCCCGCATTAATCTAAAGAAGAAGTGTATCAGACCCTAGTATACAACAACTGGCGACGAGGAGTGGCCACTCTTGGAAAGATTGAGTCCCTCAGCCCCAGTTCAGACGACTGAAACGCATTCTGCGGCACGCGCCTGCTATCAGCATTTGAAAAGGGTTGACTGTTTTCCGCGTACGTTTGGCATTCGTGCCGTGCACACTAATTGTACGCTTCATTTCAGTGAAAGGATCTAACTATCTACGTTACAGTTTGTGAAATAATTTGATCAAAAGTAAAAAGTAGAACCCCCGCAAACTCGAACTCCTAAGGGAAACAAAAAAATGGTTCTACTTAGCAGGGGTCTGAGCCAGCTGACGGTAAATGATTGGAAAAAATGCTGTCAAGTGGAATCAGATCTCGTTCGAGGTACTCGCGGAAGGTTCAAGTCAACAGAGATCTAGCGGGGTTCTACTGCTGTATTTTCATCAATTTTTTCATTCTTGACTATTCTCGCGCCGTACTTGTTTATACTTCCCAGCTTTTAAGTTTTTCAGTCTTATCAATTCGACCCGTGGGGAATTGAGAAGGAAGGTACGAGGGATGTGTACCCCCACCCTATCATACCCGATGTATTTTAACAACTGGGGGACCAGTCTAATTTATGGGGGGGGGGTGGGGTTTTGAGAATTTTGGGTTCACTTGATTTTCAGGGGTAACTGAGGGAGATCCGCCTGGGGCAGGGGTCGGAGGATTTTGATTGTTCCCCCTAGGGCTCTGTAGTATTCTAATGCCCCCCCCCATTCTCTGTTAACGACGACTGACGATTTTTCTCTCTCGAGAGCAGAGTTGCATAGCTTAATAAATTGGTGTTAACTATCGTGACTTTAAGTTTACTGTACCGTGATTAATTCAATTTATTCCATTTTTGTTACTCTGTAGCTGTGTTTGTTTACATACAGCCTCCCTGACGTGCAACTTTGATGACAGTTGACAGTTCTCCGGCATTCCCAGGACATCATGAATGCCACGAAAGCTTTTGTTATTGTCTACAGGTTCAAATTTTACATTCCGTTCTGTGAGAGTTTTCAGTAGCTATAACAACGAACACTACACCGGCATTTTGTACTCAAGTCACGCACAGAACGGAGATAATTGCTGAGAAGAAACATGTTTTCAGTTCTTCTGAAGCCGTTGACAGCAATCTGTACATTATTGCCACTGGTCACTTCAATAAGAGTATCTACGAAGTATGGAGATATCGAAGGTGTCGTCGCTTCATATCCAAGAGTCTCGGGGCTCCCTTTTCAGTCTGTCAGCAAATTCCTAGGCATTCCTTTTGCTGCTCCACCGGTTGGTGAGCTTCGACTCAAACCACCTGTACCTCCAGTTGTTTGGAGACCGCACATCCTTCCAACGAAAAAGCATGGAAACATTTGCATGCAAAGCAGACAGTATGATTATTGGTACAAAACGTTCGCTGAAAACTACTCTTACAGCGAGGATTGCTTGTACCTCGACGTCTACTCCCCAAATGTAAGCTCGAGTTTACCAGTCATGGTTTACATTTACGGTGGAAGCTTCACCAACGGTGCGGCTATCACATACCCGAGCGACATTTTGGCTCTGCACGGGGTGGTAGTTGTGGTGGTTCAGTATCGTCTCGGTCCGTTTGGTTTCTTGACGACCGGCGATTCTTCGGCTCCTGGGAATTTTGCAATGCTGGATCAAGTCGAAGCACTGAAGTGGGTCCAGGACAACATTGAGACTTTTGGCGGAAATTCTACCAAAGTGACAATATTTGGAGAAAGCGCCGGCGCGGCGAGTGTGAGCCTTCATTTACTTTCACCTCTTTCGAAGGGTCTCTTTCACCAAGCCATTGTCGAAAGTGGGGTGGATTTGAGTTCCTTCGCGACTCAGCCCGTTTCGTTTGGCCTTCACTTTGCCAAAGAACTTGCTCAAAAATTAAAGTGCACTACAAACAGCTACAAAAATATGGTCTCTTGCATCCGCTCGAAGAGTGCTGTGGAAATGCAAAACGCTGCCGAAATGTTAACGTTTAAGCTCACCGATTATCTTATGTGGGCGCCGGTAGTAGACAACCATTTCCTTCTCGCGGACCCACGAGAACTGCGTGAAAAAGGAGAGTTCAAGAAAGTCAAGTTAATGATCAGTTTCATGAGTCACGAGGGTGCATCGTATCTTGGACCTGTCGCCAAATGGTCTTTTGGACTACAGGAAAATGTGGAAGACGGAGTCAGTCCAGCCTTTTTCAAGGAATTCTTAAAGGCATTCGCTCGTGTTAGCGTTACCGAGTGAGTCACTTAATATTATCAGCATTTTTTAAAATTTGTGCTTCTGTTTGGTTTTGGCACTTATTAGGTCAAAGGCTAGCGAAGGGCCTGATGCATCCTTGCCTAAGCTCAACTACATGTCAAATTTGACACGTTCTGTTTGTATGTCAGAAGTTGATGTTCTGTCTGGTAGATCAACGGCCCTGTATATGTTATGGAAGTCACACGGACCGTATATTATAAGAGATGCACTGCTCAAAAAGTAACACTGCTTTTCAGTGTTGTCAGCAGTGTGATATTATTACTGCGTATCCCTAGCAGGTCGCTAGTATGTTCCATAATTATGTAATTTTGCGTGTCATGGCACACGAAACGCTTTCAGTCACACAACCACAATGCACGTCAGTCACGCTTGTCACGCTACGTGTCATATTCATCCCTTATATCAATTGTTCGTTTATTGTCGCACGTTTAACGCTGTATTTCGTCCGGTACATCACAGCTGTCACAATATATGACAAACTACATGTCACTCCTCGTATTACGATACATATCAGTCGTTTCAAGGCACTACGTGTCACGCTCTCTCAGCTCATATCACGCTTAATGAGACACGTAATATTCTGTATCTCTTAGATGTTTGATCACTTTATTACCTTTAGGAAGAAGAATGCTGACCTCATCGCAGACGCGCTGGAGTTCATGTACACCCCGTGGCCTGATAATAGTGACAAATACGCACTAAGAAGTCAACTTGTAGACTCAATTGGTGATAGTGCGTTCGTCGCACCGAGTCACGAAGTCGCCGATATTCACAGCCAGTATGCCGAGGTCTTCATGTACGAGTTTGCGCACCGCTCAAAGAGTGGCAGCCACTATGCTGAATGGATGGGCGTGGCACATGGGGAGAACCTTCCATTTGACTTTGGTATCCCGATGCTGCCGAATTTTCCTGAATATGATGAAGCCGATATAAACATCAGTTTGTTTGTCATGGCACTGTATGCAAACTTCGCCAATTTCGGCAATCCAACGCCGCAACCAGTCAGCGGTGTTATGTGGGATAAGTACAACTCAAGCCGCAGGGCCTATCTCCGAGTGAACACCAAACCCAAGATGGCAGCTTCGTTCGCTCCTCGTCGAATGTCATTTTGGAATAATTATCATCCCAAACTGAAAAAGACGAATTTTGATTTGAAGAGAGCCGTAGTCGGTGGAGTAAGCTCTAATGTAGCTTTGGCAACATATCTCCAGCTTGGAGTTATTATCTGTGCAACAATAGTCTGAAGTAACAAACATGATCTTATCATACCACCTAAGATATATATATATATATATATATATATATATATATATATAATAGAGATGATCTCACTGACTCTCCCGTAAACCTCTCCACCCAAAGCTTTGATATTAAGGATGAGAAGGGGCTGGTCATTATTTTTCGCCTAGGAGATTGAAGGGGGGAGGGGGGGGGTAGTTTGGAGGATTTTTAATTTTTCACGTTAAATTGTTCCCTATCCCCATAGGCTCTGTATTATGATCCACCCTTACTAGAAGTTAATTGGCAGTCAATTTTCATTAGCCCCCCTTTTTAATTTCTTTGTTGGCAGCGACTGATCCCCCCTCTATTTCCCCCTGAAAACCATGTGACCCCCCACAGAATCCTCCAACTGCCCTCGACAATAAATGGCTAGTCCCTTATCACTTTGCAATTTACTTTCGTTTCATTTTTTGTTTAACCTTAATTTTTAGGTTAAGTTAGACATGAAACGGAAACTGTTTAACTAAAGCACTAAATAATGAAATTTTCAGAGCGACTACTATTTATTTACTTTTTATTGCATGCAAACCTTTTTTACAATATAACTGTGGTAACGCAACATCCCCATGTGGTGTAAAGAAAAGAGTCGCGTCGAAATTTATCATGAACAGAATAGAGAAATAGAGATGTAGAGAAGGCTATAAATTCGATTACTGCACACACGAATTTTATGAAAATTGTATTTTCAGAGGAGCCAAGTTTACCTCGATGAAAAATCTCACCGTCAAATATATAACTCTCACTAACCGTGTTTGGGGTCCATAGTGTAAATTGCGCGCCAGTTTTTTCCGCTCGGAAATATGGCCCATGCGCAAGGTATGGGGCCATAAATCAGAGAGCAAAAAACCAGGTTCCATAACTTACAATACGGACCGAGAAATCGAGGTTAGCAATATATTTCTGATATATCTGAGTTAAAATGGAGGGGAAATATGCCAATTAAAACAAGCTTTAGAATTTAGTGAGCCATACGGTGAAACACAGCCCGCTAAATTGACCAATCATGGCGCAAATACTAGCGAAGAGTGTTATCGAATGTAACTTTAACGCAAAAGTCAGAAGCAAGTTTCACTGAGGTAAGTTATACAGATATAATGTCCATGTATTATTTTCAAACATTTTCTCAAGTCTCATTTTAATGTCCTAAAAATGCCAAAGGAAAGAGCGGTGAGAAAAAATGTTGTACTGCATACATTTTCGCCGGTACCACTGGCCACATATTCCTTAGTATCAAACTTGACTTGTTCAAGCTTTGGATAGTAATCATTCCAGAATGCCATTCGACGCGGGGCAAAGGACGCCGCCATCTTAGGTTTCGAGTCAGCTCGTAGATACGCCCTGTAGCTTGAGTTGTATCTCTTCCACATAACACCGCTGACTGGCTGCGGCGTTGGATCACCGAACTTAGCAAAGTTTGTGTACAGCGCCATAATGAACAAACTGACGTTTCTGTCATCTGCGTCGTAACGGGAAGAAAACGGTGGGATTAGAGGAATTCCAAAGTCGTAATGTCTATTGGCACCATGGACCACGCCCATCCACTTCGGTAGCTTAGTAATCGTTTTTGAACGATGCGCAAACTCGAGTATGTATACCGGAGCAACCGAACTGTGAATATCGGCAGACTGGTGACTAGGTGCATAGAATACGAAATCGCCGAAGAGGTCCATAAGTTGACCCCTTAGTGCGTATTTGTTGCTTTTATCAGGCCACGGGGTGTACATAAACTCCAGGGCATCCGCAATAAGGTTTGCGTTTTTTTCCCTGCGCGAGAGACAAGAAAGCAGAGAAGAGAATTTCTGATTGAGATACCTAGGATGAAACTTGGAGCGACGTATTGAATACTAAGCAAAACTAGGAGTGTAGTATGTTTTCGTATTAGTCAAATGAAGGATTCCCATTTCTCTAAGCTGAGGGCATAAATAATGTAGGGACTGGATACAAGTCTATCCCCAGTTTCGTTCCCAGGTCTCCTGTATGTACCAATTCGAAATGAATGTAAGATATTTAAGGAAAGAGCCCCTCAAGGGGAGGGAACAGAGCAGGAGACCATACGACGAATAGATATAGCTCATTATGGTTATTGGAGGTACTTTCGGACCCCACTGGAGGGGTAACGCTTAACGAGAACGCGAGTAACACGCGCAGGAGGGCAGAACCGCGAGGATGACTTCTCGTGACTTCTCACTTACATGTTCTGGTCTAAATAAAAAAACCAACTTATTTTACCGAGTAAATCATCGAAATCTTGGTTAACCGCAAATCTGTTTATTGAATCTACCAGCTGATTATTCCCAAACGCTTAATAACAAAATTCTCTTTTTCTTACCTACTGGTCTGACTATGCGCAAATTGTGTTATGTATCCTTTGAAGAAAGACTGACTCGATCCGTTGACTAAATTTCTAAAGGCTGTTCCACCCTCCTCACTGTTAAAAGTAATCATAAATTTGGCTTTCTCAAACTTTCCTTTGTTTCGAAGATTCCGGGGGGTGTCAAGAAGAAAGTATTTGTCCACAACTGGTGCCCAACGTAGGTATCCGGTAAAAATATAGGTTATTGAGTCGGATGCGTCTTGTATCTCCTTCGCTTCTTTCTGACGAATACAGGCCATCATTTCGCTGTGGTCGCTCGTTGGACAGTCCAGGTATCCAGCAAGCTCATTGGCAAAGCGGAGACCAAAGGAAGTCGGCTGGATTGCAAAAGGACTCAAATCCACCCCGCTCTCTGCAATGGCTTGTTGGAAGAGGCCCTCAGACATTGGAGACAGTAGATGGAGGCTCACACTTGTTCCACCAGCGCTTAATCCAAAGATGGTCACCTTGCCGGGATCCCCGCCAAAATTTTCAACGTTCTCTTTAACCCACTGAAGTGCCGCGACTTGATCCAGCATTCCAAAATTACCAGGAGATGCAGAATCCCCTGTAGTCAGGAAGCCAAATGGCCCGAGACGATACTGAGCGATGACTACCACCACCCCATGTAAAGCCAAAATATCCCCGGGAAATGTGACTGTAGCTCCAAACTCATACGATCCGCCGTGAATGTAAAACATCACGGGTAGTTTCGATTTGACATCTGGGGTGTAGATGTCGAGAAACAAGCAGTCCTCGCTGTACGTGAAATTGTGGACAAACTTTTTTAACCGAACTTCATAGGCCTTGCCTTGCCAGCAAACGTTTCCGTGTCGTTCAGCTGAACGAACTTTAGGTTTCCATTTAAGAGGCGGTTCTGGTGGCTTAAACCTAAGCTGTGAAGTCGGTGGAGCAGCGAATGGAACGCCAAGGAACTTGTTGACGTGCTTGTACGCGAAAGAAAAGTTGGCGTACGAAGTTACAAAACCTTCGAGATCTCCATTCTTTGTTGACACTGTTACAGAAGCGATTGAGGGCAACCAGACACAGAACACCGTCAATCTTATGAGCATTCTGGCCCTCAGAATGTTCAAGGTTAATGAGCTAATTTTGTTTTGTCGCGAAGTACACTATTGCGTGATAAATTTTCCTCTCAAATTTCCTAATAAGACTTATTTGTCATGTCATTGTGGAACGTCACGTCATTGAGGGCTCTCATGTAATCCGTGATGGTAAACCTAATGATTGTATCTACATATCATCCAGACTGATGTGTTTCGTCGCAAATGCCGAAGGATGCTCATATTGTCTGATTTCTATTTTTTAAAACCTTTATTTCCTTCCCATCTACGTAATACTAGAACGTGATTGCAGAGGTCATTAATAAGAACATATTTTTTTACGTCGTAGATTGATCACGTGGTTCATGATGGGTAAACAACAGTGGCAGCCATATTAAATATATGAAATTATCCACAAGGGAAGTGGGTTTCTGCTGTCCGTCATTGTTTTTATGGTAAGCGAGAAGTTAACTAAATAAAAAACGTTGTTTCCTTTTCGGCATGGTAATTGTAGGGGTGTTGTGGCTTCAACCTCCCACTGACCTGTTTTTATCCGTGAATCTCCTTAAAACATGTAACGAGCCTGTTGTCAACATGCTCCTCTCGATAATCGATCATCATTAGGTTCCCTTGTTCTCTACAGACTACGGGTTCTGCTAGTACCCTTACGAGAACGTCACGCAACGCTTCCGAAACTTCTTTTGTATTAGAATTGCGTGACATCCCAAGAAAGATAAAACATGACTTTCACTTAAAATAAGTATGATACTGCTGCCTAAAGGGAGAGGTCCTCTGCTTTCAAAGGGCAATTGCAACGCAGTTAACATCTTCCCATAACTGAGAAAGCTTTAATTCCTTTGGAAACATAATTGCGCTGCACATGCGTTTAGGATAAACGGATGACATTTTGTTCCACTCCAACCGGCAAAAAACAGGTCAGATATCAATCTAATGCTAATTTTATCCAGAAAACAAATGATTCCCTTCCCCCGCCCTTTCCGGTAGTAATAGGGAAATATTGAGGAAACTGTTTATGGGAGCACACTTCCATTTAAAATTTTCAGCTTGTTAGCATCACATTGTTCGAAGAGAAATGACGTGTTGTACGGAATTTTTCCAGAGAAAAGTATTTGTATCATGGCCCTCTTAAATGCCATAAACATCACATCAGAAAGGTTAATCCAGAAGCAACCACCACTTATTGTAACAGACCTTTCTTAAAACAGCCATTCTATCAGAAATTTCTACTCGGCTAAAAAAGATTTACTTTCGCGAGCCGAAAGTCTTCCTCAGTGCATCACCATCGAAAAAACCGCGAATGCAATGAGAACAAACTTTGCCAGAGCAGAGGCACAGCCAGCGTCACTAATTACCACTGTCTCTTTTTAAACTTGACTTCCATCAGCTTGGGAAGATAATCATTCCAGAACGACATTCGGCGAGGAGCAAACGAGGCCTTCATCTCGGATTTTTTGTCCACCCGGAGATAAGCCCTCTGACTGGAGTTGTACCTCTCGAACGTAACATCGCTGACTGGCTGGGGTGTTGGATTGCCGAGCTTGGCAAAGTTTGTTTACATTTTCATTATAAACAAACTGATGTCTTTGTCACACTGGTCCGGAAACAAATTTGCAAAACGAGGCATCAACGGGATTCCAAAATCGTAGCCAACGTTATCGCCGTGTTGTACCCCGTACCACGCCTTGTGAAGGGGGCGTACTCTTTGCTGATAATCGAACATGTACATATAGACGTCGGCATACTTGCTGTGAATATCGGCGACTGCGTGACACGGGGCATATGCCAAAGAGGTCAATAAGCTGAGTTCTCAGCGCGTATTTATCGCTGCTGTCGGGCCATGGGGTATACATAAACTGCAACGCATCTCTTATGAGGTCACCTTTCTACTTTCTTAAAGGAAAGAAAGAGAACAATCGTTTTAATTCCAGTGTTTGTTAAGGCTTTCCTCGCTTTCGCCGCATTTACCCTGACTAGTTTTCATTGACATGTGTCTGGACTTTCTGAGATGTTTTTTCATGTACTTTATTAACAAGTAATAACATAATTTATCTTGTAATTTGGTACAATAAGCACTTCAAAGACTTCAAATTGCACCTGCCCTCGGGCTTGTGTAATTTTTTTTGAAAATTTATTCGTGTTTATTGACACCAAACTGCACTCCAAATCATGCTATTTCCTATATGTATTTGACAGATACTCCTTTAGTGCGCTTTGAATTTGAGATGATAGCGTTGCGCCGAGTTGGCTATAACCAAACTCGTATCTAACGAGTGCGAATGGAATCATTGTTTTTAATTGTCAAATTTCATTTACTCCTGAAAGTTTGGTCATTCATTTCATTGGTGCGTGTCATTGTAACGTCACCTGCGTTAGGAAAATTCCTTCCTCTCGAGGTTCTAACTCACTCATCTTTCAAATTTTAAACAGAAATATTTTCAAGGAAGGAATTTTTTGGTGTATTTTCAATTGTACTTTTGCGCTTATTCCCTTTGGAATGTTATGTGTCGGTTATAACGTCATCTATGCTAGAAAACTTTTCTATAAGGGACGCGACTTAGTTCAAAAACTCCTTTCCTCATTTGCACTTTTTACAATATGGAATTTTTGCAGCAAGACTCCGAGTTCTCGTGAAGAGAAAACAATTTTAGTATAACAGATAACTTAATTTACCCCATATTTCGAGAGTCCACAAAATTTGTTAGAAATTCCATAAAGAAAGAGGGACTCACTCCGTTGTCTACACTTTCTGCCATCCCATAGGAAAAGTTTGCCATAATACCCAATGTAGCTCCAAATTCCTCACCGTTAAAAACGATCATTAACTTGACTTTCTTAAACTCTCCTTTGTTTCGCAGATTCCAGTGGGGTGTCAAGGAGAGAGTTTTTATCCACAACAGGTGCCCAGCCCAAGTATCCTGTGTAAAGCGTTCTCTATCTCCTTCGTTTCTTTCTGACGAATGCAGGCCATTATTTCGCTGTGGTCGCTCTTTGGACGGTTCAGGTTTTCAGCAAGCTCACTGGCAAAACGGAGACCGGCTGAAGTCGGCTGAATTGCAAAGGGACTCAAATCCACCCCGCTCTCTCTAATGACTTGATGGAAGAGGCCTTTAGACAGTGGAGACAATAAATGGAGGCTAACACTTGTTCCACCGGCGCTCAATCCAAAGATGGTCACCTTGCCGGGATCCCCTCCAAAATTGTTTATGTTTCCTTTAACCCACTTGAGTGCCGCCACTTGATCTAACATTCCATAATTCCCAGGGGCAGCGGAATCCCCGGTCGTTAAGAAGCCGAACGCACCAAGACGGTATTGAATAACAACAACTACCACACCCTGAAGAGCCAAGTAATCGCCGCGATGCGAGATTGCAGTTCCATACTCATAAGCTCTTTGCTCTTTTTACAAAAGTAACACTGCTAGCATACCCAGTAAATTTTTTTAGAGTCGTATTTCAGAACTGTGGGTGGTAATCGAACCTATTGCTCCTCTCGCTTTTCGTAATATGATGATATTGGTTTCAATTTCAAAATTAGTTCGTTGATATCGATTCAGCATCTCGCTTGGACTTCTATTGTCATTAGTCATGATCCTCGAAAATTAAAAACGGTTTATCATTAACTTCTCTCGCCAGAGAATCTGTTTTATTCATGTATTTCCTTGCTTATTTTTGCATATCATGCAAAAAATTTTGACACGGCTCCTACGCACGTCAAAGACTATGACAGTCTCTTTTCATTCATGTAAATTGCGATAAGCTTCATTTGATTGGCCTATAGCGGCCTTATGGGAGAAAGGCCGTCTTACGCAAACAAACACGTTGTGAAAAGCCAGACATGCGCAGTAAGAAAATATAAGATATCAGGAAAAGCCCTCATTAAAACATCCATCCTCTCAGATCTATAGAATTTTGCAGTGCTTGTAAAACGAAATTTTCCCTATGCTTCGTTTCCTTCTGGATGAGGCCTTTCCAGACATCTAGATAAACAAAGAAAGCCATAACTTGACGTCATAGATATTTCAAGCAACTTCAAGCTGTTTAATGTCTATTTCAAACTGTTGCAACATTACCTCGCTATCAGGTGACACGAATACACAGTGGATTAGCGAGTCAAGTCACGTTCCCACTCAAACTAAGGCACAATGATTTCGACAAAACTTTTACTACGTTTATCAATTTTCTACGTCTTTCTGCCTTTAGTCACGTCGATGAGGGTGTCCACAAGCTATGGTGACGTCGAAGGTCTCGAGGAATCCTACCCGAATTCTTCTTTCGCTTACAAGTCAGTCAGCAAATTCCTCGGGATTCCATTCGCAGCTCCACCAGTTGGCGACCTCAGAATGAAAGCACCAAAAGAGCCAGCTTCTTGGAAACCAAATGTACGCCAAGCTAAACAGCACGGAAATATTTGCATGCAAAAGAAGACCTTCGAATATTTTGTGCGGTTATTTACTCAAAATTTTACCTACAGCGAAGATTGCCTATATCTCGATGTCTACAGCCCGAACGTGAGCCAGCATCTACCCGTAATGGTTTACATTCATGGAGGAGGCTATGAGTTTGGAAGTTCAATCACATACCCTGGCGATTACTTGGCTCTCCAAGGCGTAGTAGTTGTTGTTATTCAATACCGTCTTGGTACGTTTGGCTTCCTGACGACCGGGGATTCCGCTGCCCCTGGGAATTATGGAATGTTAGATCAAGTGGCGGCGCTCAAGTGGGTCAAAGATAACATAAAAAATTTTGGAGGGGATCCCGGTGAGGTGACCATCTTTGGATTAAGCGCTGGTGGATCAAGTGTTAGCCTCCATTTATTGTCTCCACTGTCTGAAGGCCTCTTCCATCAAGTCATTGCAGAGAGCGGAGTGGATTTGAGTCCCTTTGCAATTCAGCCGACTTCCTTCGGTCTCCGCTATACCAATGAGCTTGCTGGAAACCTGAACTGCCCAACGGGCGACCACAGCGAAATGATGGCCTGCATTCGTCAGAAAGAGACAAAGAAGATACAAGACGCTTCCGAAAAAATAACCTTAAGTTCTGTTGAATACCTGGACTGGGCACCAGTTGTGGATAAAAACTTTCTTCTTGACACCCCCCGGAATCTGCGTAACAAAGGAGAGTTTAAGAGAGATAATTTAATGATCGTCTTTGCCAGTCAGGAGGGCGGATCTTTTCTGGGTATGATGGCAAACATGTCCTTTGGGATGACACAAAGTGTAGACAACGGAGTGAGTCCCTCTTTCTTCAAGGAATTTCTAACAAAATATGCGCACGCTCAGAATATCGGGTAAGTTAAGTTATCTGTTATAACTGCTTTTTGTCACAAGAACTTGTAAAGTGCAAATATGAACAAATATGACAACTTTCTTCTTGAAGTTTTTGAACGAAGACATGTTATGTGTAAAACTTTTGAACGAAGTTTTTCTAGCGTAGATGAGGTTACAATTTTACATACAGAATGTTATGGGAAAAGAGAGCAAATGTGCAAATGAAAAACTATGCCATTTTTTTTGGGAAAAATCTTTCTGTCACAAAATTGACATCTCATTAGTTTTTGGCATTGTAAACGTAAAACCTCGATAGAAGGAATTTCCCCTACGCGGATGACGTTACAATGACACGCACCTTTGAAACTTGAAACTTGAAAGGGTTTTTACAACTTGGTAATTCTACTCTATCAGGGTTTCCTCTTCAAGCGTCTTTTGACCTCAGTCCTTAATTAACAAAAGAGCGCTGATAAATATCCGCATAGGGCAATATATGTGTCAATGATAACAAGCCAGGGTAAATGCGACTCAAGCAAGGAAAAGCTTTTACTAACTCTGAAATTAAAATGATTATCTCTTTCTTTCCTTTAAGAGAGCAGAAAGGTGACCTCATAAGGGATGCATTGCAGTTTATGTATACCCCATGGCCTGACAGCAGCGATAAATACGCGCTGAGAACCCAGCTCGTTGATCTCATCGGTGATCAGCCTTTCTACGCCCCAAGTCACGCAGTCGCCGATATCCACAGCAAGTATGCCGATGTTTACATGTCCATGTTCGATTATCAGCAAAAAGTACGACCCCTTCACAAGGCGTGGTACGGAGTACAACACGGCGATAATGTTTTTTTTGAATTTGGAGGCCCGTTCATGCCTCGTTTTGCAAATTTGTTTCCGGACCAGTCGGACAAAGACGTCAGTTCGTTTATCATGGAAATATACACAAACTTTGCCAAGTTCGGCAATCCAACACCCCAGCCAGTCAGCGGTGTTACGTTCGAGAGGTACAACTCCAGTCAGAGGGCTTATCTCCGGGTGGATAAAAAATCCGAGATGAAGGCCTCGTTTGCTCCTCGCCGAATGTCGTTCTGGAATGATTATCTTCCCAAGCTGATGGAAGTCAAGTTTGAAAAAGAGACAGTGGTAGTGAGTGATGCTGGCTGTGCCTCTGCCATGGCAAAGTTTGTTTTCATTACGTTCACTTTTTCATGGATGGCGCTTTATTGAGGAAGACTTTATAGGGCGCACGAGAGCAAAACTTTGCAAAGGTTCCTTCTTTAAAGACTGCGAGCGAATGTAGAATTCATCAGGTGCAAGGATAATCATGAAAAACAAAGTTTGAAGATGGAAATATTGAAAATTTCAAATTAATATAATCCAAACTGATCCTCTATATTGCCCATATTTCAAGACGCAATTACGAATACTTTTGTACTTTGTCGTAGATAAAGCAGAATTTTATCGGCTAATGGAAAATTGAATATTGATCAGACTGGTTGAAGCTGCTATTAATTTTGCCACATAAAGTATGTTTGTTTTATTGTCTAATTTCAATTTCTTATCGAGTGGCTGTATTTAAGAAAGTTCTGTGATTTTCTCACTGAGAAACGCAAACGCGTTGTATTACCTCAAGGAGTTACTATGGATGAATTTTGCCTCTGAATAAACCCACCTGATGTGATTTTTATGGCATTTTGGAAGACCATACATTGTCTGAAAGTTTCTGTACAACCGACTTGATTTTGTCTTCCAACAATCTCTACTGAACAGAATTTTCTTACAAAATCACGTAATGTGCGACCCCATGCGGGCACCTGAACTAAAACCGAGCTAAACGGCCCTTAATCAGCCCAAGAAATTCACACGATGCAAGGGAACAATCACCTAGCGAGATGAATTTTTTCAAAACCAGTTCAGATTCGTTCTGATCGAGAGCGCGTTTATAAAAATGCCTACATTTCGACCATTGCACAATGTGAACATATTTGCATATTTTGCGAGCTTGTGTTTCCTTTGTTTTGACTCATTTATTCCTGCAAAGATTACTATACTTTCGGGCGCAAATCCACACGAGGTGCTTGGAGTTGAATAGCAAAAGATATCCAGTTTGAGTTGCCAATCAGAGCGCACCTTCTACGCTATCTATATTGATTGTGTACCTCATATCGACCTCAGCTATATTTAGCCAGAAATAGTAAATGACGTAAGTTCTCCTGTGTCACGTGATCGTTAGAGAGCCCACGATGCTGGTGGTCTTTTTGGATGTAAATCGATCACGGATTGTAATCGGGCGACGAAAGAAGGCCGTGAACATTTTCCAGATGTACAGTCCTAAATACTCCAAAGCACAAAGCTGTGCTTATTTCTGCTTCAAAAATGCCCTGGTGGCACTTAACACGCTTTATATTGTAAGTATCTTGGAAAACCTTTCAACTTTAAGTCAGAGTTTTATTGAATCTCGCGAGCTATTGAATGAGGAAATTGAGTCTTCGCAGTCTGTGTTACGTGGCATTTGGTGGTTATTTTAAGCTTTCTATCAGATATTCTACGGAAATCTCCTGCGGTTCTTATCCGTAAATGTTTCTAAATCTGATTAGGGACTTAATGAGTAAAAGGTACCTCTCCTACGAAAAAGAAAATCTCTAGGCAATAAAACCCCGTTGTTCCTTTGCTGCAAAAGGCTAGCTGTTTATATAGCACATCATGCATGTATTCAATAGTTTTTTCTGAACGAAAAACCAATAAGAGCTCTTTAATTTGACTATCACCTTATGTTTCAGGAAATGTAAGCTTCATTTTAATTAACGGGCGAATTTTTTTGTATTTATTTAATTTTCCAAGATCTCGACATAGAGTCTTCCAGTTAAAAATATTGGAAAGCATTAATTATTCGATTATAAAGAAGTAAAGGTCGTGTGTCCGCGGAAGTCCATATTATTTCTAGGGCTTCCTCTTAGATTATTTTAAAGCCCATTTACTAAATGTTAGGAGATTTTAACGAGGCTTCACCTATACCAGTGGATCTTGAATGCAGCTTTTCCTTTTATCAATAAGGAAAGGAAAGGAACAAATGAAGGTCCCAATGACTATGCTATGCAGATAAGCTGACTTGTGTCGCATTTCATTTAACAGAGCTGTCCGTAATTCAAATCATTGCAAATTTTAATTTTGTTGTATTAAATTTGCCATAAAGTTAGACGTATGACATTGTCCTCTCAAAATGACATGGAATGATATTGTTTGCAATGAGTATTATTACAAACTTCAAAGGTATTTTGAATGTTCACTTGTCCTCCTGGTATTTAGTATTTGGCATGAGACTTTGTATGATACCAATTTTTTTACTTTTGAAGGTTGAATAACACAGCAATTTAAATCTAATTTTTATTTCAATTGATGACAAGAATATGTCAATGATAGGGGCACCATTGTTGTAAAGAACTTGTTGTGGGTTGGGTACATTATGTGTTCCCTCATGTATGAACAGTTATTGGTATGCTGCTTTTTGTGTTTAAGGTAATCTTTGATACTGAAAGAAAAAAAGGATAAAGAAAATTTGCTTAGGGTTTTTCTGGAGAGATACTGGAAACATGATATCTTGCTCACAGAAACTATTTATTGGAAGCCCCTAAAGAAGAGGTACCTAAAAGTATACACATGGTAAACAGTATTGTCAAAACTGTGCTCTTAGAATGATCGTGTTGTTACCTGCCCAAAGGCTATGGACCCAGAAATACAAGGTGCTCATCTCTTAAAAACCTTCATAAAAGCAAAGTGATTCCTGGCACTGTAAGAGAAAAAGCAAAAGAGCACAGCCCTGAACTAACTGATTTGATTGCTTGTATAAAGTATTTTTTTCCTTTGCAGTTCATAGCCTTGGTAATGATATGTGTAGCTGTTTATGCCAAAGCATCATCTAAAATAACCAGTCTCCCGATTCTTGGTGGTGTAGTTGCCTGTGGCGTTTTCCTTCTTCTCATTGCCATCATGGGCGTTGCTGGTGCAGTGCGTCACAGCCAAGTGATTCTGTTCTTTGTATCCTTTTCATGATTGTGAACTGCAGTTAAAAGCAGTTGCAGAAAGTAAAGTTTGCAGAACAGTTCTGCCCAGTACCTCCCCAACAGTGGTTTGCTCCAATGCTACGATTGTAAAGCTGTGTATTAGGAGCACAGTCTGACTTATAAACGATAAAGTGTAATGAAAGCAATTTGGAGATCATATTGGCATGATGGTTAGTGTGCTGGATTCTGGGTTTGAGAGGCCTGGATTTGAAAGCTGGCTGGGTCAAAGTGTTATGTTCAGGAGAAACATTTTAACTTTACAGTGCCTTCTCCTCCAGTACAAATTGGTGAACAAAATCACCAGGCAAGCCTGGTGAAATCCTGTGGGCAAACCTTGCAATGGATTACCATCCCATCCAGGGGGGAGAAGTAGCACTTCTAGTTACTTCATGCTAAGGACACTGGGGATGAGTTCTTGCTGGGTGGACCACTTAGCACAAGTACAGATGTTACTTCACTGAGGTGTTCTTGTTGTCTATTGTTTTGGAACTGGCCTAGGGTTGCAAATAATGAAGATGATGATGATGATTCTTGTTACTTAGTGTTCTGGAAAGTACACGACGTTCTTATCTGTTTGTTTCAGCCTTAACTTATTGAACAGTATATGATTATCATGCTACTTCTGTTTATCATTCAAATGTCAGTGTCTCTTGGTGCAATAGCAGTTTCACATGAGCAGCAGTCTAATCTAATGGAGGCAGGATGGGGAAAGATGCCACCCAATTTAAAGACCAAAATCCAAACAATCAAAGACTGTTGTGGATTTAAAAATAAAAATATGACGTCAGGTGAAATGGGACATCCGAAGTGTACTGCGGTAAGTTTTTGTGGTGTACGACCCATTCACATGCTGGGGTTGTAGTTCTTGAAATCGGAGACTTTCAGGAGGTAATGACCCCCCTATTTGTGACACCAATAATTTTTGTGGCCATTGCCACCCTCCAATTATTGCTTGTTAGTATTAATGACAAGAAAATTTTTTTTGGTTAAAGTTTGGATTCTCTCTAATGTATTCACATTTGTGATACATCAGCCTTGTAATGTTGTCACAAGATAGTGCTTGTACCTAGGCTGCTGTTAACCCAATAATGCACACCAAGCGTTTCTCCCAGACCTATTTACTTGCCATGTGTAGACAATGGGTCTGTGTATTATTCTTGTAAATAAAATGCTCTGTAAATGTAATTTATAATTTTAGCCAGTATTGTTAATAATCATACAATTCAGCCTTATTAAGCTGGCATGTGATTTTTAATAAAGCCCTCTATCTATAAAGTCACAACAAGAACTGTAAGCTGCCAGAGTTATTGTAAGTCTAGGAAAAGATTATGCTCTAAAACAGTACAGTCAAACCTCTATTATCCGCACTTGTGAGAACTGGACTGAATAGTCTGGATAATCCAGAGTTCAGATAATCAAAATCACTGTGGATTACTGCTAAAATTTGCTAAAGAATTTACAAAAACAACATTTTATGACCCAAAATGCTGACATAAATCAGTTTGTCTCAAGCTGCTACTGCGTTTGTGCATCACTAATTCTGTCATTCTATGAAACTGCATGAAAGAAATAAGGTCAAAATTAATTATTTCATCATCTGATTTGTTTGATGGAAAAAGTTGATGGTAAAGAAAGGTTGTGAGCATTGTTGATTAATTGTAAAAGAATCACAAATAATACTATTAACTCAAATTCTTGTGTTTTTTTTTATGCCTTGTGAAAGTGTTGTTACCTGATCTGGTCTGGGAATTTTAACTTAATTCCTCATGCATATAAAACCACTAACACTAGTTTCTTTTGAGTATTCATGACCATTTCTTTATTCATTGTGTTTTAGCTACCATGCTGTAATGAGACTACTAACGATGATACATGCCCCAAATGTAAAACATGCTATGACAAGTTAAAAGATGTAGTAAATCATCTTCTGAAAGTGGCAGGAGGAATTGGTCTGTTCTTCAGTTTTACCTTGGTAAGTACAGAACTTACATCAATTCACACACCATTTTTTTTTTGTCATATAATGAGATATCTTCTTTGTAACCTTGTTGAGCAAGATACTAACACTTGCATTTTAAAGTTGGACTAATCCTATGCCTAACCCTTTAACTCCCAGATATTATTAACATGTAACTTCTCCTTATAATATCAATATATATCAAGTAAAAGGGTAACGAGAATACTCAAACTTATCAGGTAGAGGTTGTTACTTTGATCCAACAGCAAATTGTCATTGCTGTTTTACAAGGAATTAAACATGCAGCAGCCAGAGGGAAGAATTAACAAGCAAATCTTGGGAGTTAAATGGTTAAAGGAATTAATTATTACTCTAACTAATTATTTTGATAATTCTGGTCCGCTTCCTCTTGATCTGGATTCACGCTCATTAACCACTTGATTAGGACATTTGATTGTCAGTAATGAATAGTAAAGTATCTCTCTCTATAAAATCTTCTTAACTTCCTCTCATATTTCTATCTTTCACAGCTGTTTGGTGTGTATATGGCGTGCCGCTACAGGAATCAGAAGGACCCTCGTGCCAATCCTGGGGCTTTCTTATAGGTCCCTGGGTGCTGAGCTAAATTCTTAGACCTGTGCTAACCTTTCTTTAACCTCTAAATAGATCTCTCAACCATGCTAATCTACCCATAATTGAAAATATGTAAAATACGATTGGAGAGACATGATTGTTTGTAATATAATTATTATACAGGTTAAATTGCATGTGTTCCTTTGCCTTTTGTTATCATTATTTTCCAGTATCACTGTGTCAATATCATGTGGAGTTAGTCTGATTCAATACCATGATTACATAGCTGCCATTTTTATTTATTAGCAGCAACAATAGCAGTTGACTTAAGCTTTTAAATGTTTCAAGACTAACTTTTAATCAGTGACATGGCAAAGTCTACTGGTATGACAGATTCTAGTGAGGGGCAGGGTGGGTGGGTTAGTTAGTTAGTTTGGTATAAGAGCTTCTCCCTCCCTGCCCTAGGCATATCCTTCTGTTCATGTGGAGTGACTTTTTTCTATAATGTCCACAGTAGCTAGTGTTAAGTAATCTATCAATGAGTTGTTTGCTGCGAGTCTTTGAGATTATTGTGTGGCGAGGTAGTCTTGAGGTAAATCCCAGTATTCTGATTGACTCTTACTTTGTCTTTATTTTGCTCTATGGAGCAGGTCTTTATTTTGTTTTATGGGCCATTTCCATGGAAATAATCATAAGCTCTGTATTTTTGGTTGCAAAACCTGCAAATTCAGAATACAAGTTTGGTCCTGGTGCCATATGATAAACCACTTACTAACCTTGCTTTATAGAGCCATACTGCAGAATTTTTAGGCCTTGGTCCATTTTTAAATTCTAGGAAGAAATCTTTTGAAGTTAGATTGACTGACAGTTCAGTTTTCTCATATCATGTTTTGTTGGAGGGTCTATGGCCCATTGATATCATTACTCATTTTTTTTTGGAAGAAAAACAGATGCCTTTCTTATGTTGCAGTATTTTAGGGTTAGAGTAATTGCCTAACTACTTCTATTTCTCCAGTTAAAATGGAGGTATTTTGAGAATATTTCTAGACTAGAAAATCTCTCTTTGAAAAGCTATATTTAATAGCAGTATTTAATTATTTCAGGAGTGTTTATTGATGAATTATTTAAGGTTGATTTTTTTTGTTATGTTAAGTGTAGATTATATCCTGAAAATAAACATTCGGTATCTTTGTGCTTTTATGCAGTCTTCAGTAACATTCCCCAGAGCCCATAAATTCCTAGAAGAGAATGATATACCAGAAAACCAGAAAGTTTGTGGCCTTTCATATCTCTGATAGTTTTTGTATGGTTACTTTTTCACGCGTGTTTTCTAGGTTCCAAAATAAAACTTTGAAAATTACCTTGCTTAGTTAGAACTTGAATGAGATACCTTTACTTTACAAGTGTCTGCACCCTTCAGTCTGTAGGTAACCAGAGGAATGTCACGCCTTGTCCATTAAGCCGCTACTGCGAGTTTTATGTTTTTACGGATTTTTTTCACTCTAATCTCTTGAAGAACATGGAGATGCTCATGGAAATACTCCTCTTCCGACATATTTTTATCGAAAAGAAAGCAAATTCTCTGAAAAAAACTTGTTAAATGCGACCCACGCCATACCAAGATTGTGTGACGGGCCAATTGCTATTGTTGCTGGTATCATATATTTAACCAATTAGAAAGCGTGCAGATGATTGGTGCTAATGGTTTGCAAGAGTCGTATCGGCTTTTTGGCGTCTTGTAGGAACAAATTATTTCGGTTACAGTTGATGAAAATTTGAAGGAGCGACTTTTCCGGGATTTTTTTTATCAATAAGCGAAACTTTGAAAAGAGAGAAAACCCCGAATTGTATGAAATCTTAGAAAGGTAATATCTTACTTCCGAAAAGGACTTATAAGATAACATAGGTTAACGAAACTCTTATTCATAACACTGCAAACCTGCATTTGAAACGCATGCCTCTATTCAAATCAAAATTTTGCGCTACTCGCCCTTCAACCGTTGGCTCTTAATTTTTTCTTTAAGTATCACCATAGGTTCAAATGTGAAGGTCATGAGAATTACGGAAATGATCACCAAGTAAAGCTCTTGATGATTAAACCAATTCTTGTCAGCACCTTAAGAAATGTGTTAATAACAGCGTGGAGCATATGTATACTGATGTTAGGGTGTGAAGATTTAAGACCATGCACATAACCAGTGGTTAAATATTGAAATACTCGTGCTTATCAGTCAGTTATTTGTATTTTATTTCAGATTCTGGGAGTGTGTCTTACCAGACGAGTGCGAAACCGCGGACCGCAGAAACTCTATTTTGACTAAGTGACGTGAAGTTTGCTGTTTGGTCATCTTGGAGAATTCTCTTTTTCATTAGCCTGAGTACTAGGCTTCCTAAAGGGGTTGGGAATAGGGCGAGAGAAAAACCCACCGCTCTAGCTCGGCCCTAGTCCCCCTTCCTCTGGAAGGCTCGTTATTCAGGCTACTGCTTTAAACCGAAAAAATAGGCTTTGATAAAAATTGTGGGCATAATTGCCTGATACTAGTACAGGTACAGGTAATAGTAACTAACATTGGCTTTGTTTGGACTGTAGATCAATTAATGATTAGAATTTAAATGGGAAAGATTTTCAAACCAGTTCTCTAGCATTGTAAAATAATAGCTCAGATCGAAGAGGTGGTTATAGGAAGCAAAAAAATTAGGGTTCTTCTCGTGTTGAACTCAGCACGGACCATTTAGTATCGGGATAGTTGAGCAAAAACAAATAAAAAGACCATGTTTAAAAACTATGTAGTTAGCTACCCACGCGAAATCCTGAACACATACAGAAAAGTTGTCTCGGATTCGACATTGCTTTTTTAGTAATTTTTCGCACCAATTATTGGTTTAAACAACTTGTGCCATAGCCACATGCTGGATATTTAAGATTGATGGAGAAAATTATATTTATTAGTTTGCAAGATTTTTAATTTTATTTAAGAATTTATACTAAGGTTGGGGCAATTTATAAAAAATTTGGTCTTGATACTATTTCATAGCTATTTGTAAAGATTGGCATTCAAATAAATGAATATTGTGAGGTATCACTGCATTTCTAATCATTGTTTTAGATCCTCTTTCTTTTCCTTTGAACATAAATTCATATGGAGATCGAGTCTAAGCAGTGCGTGATCCTTGTTCCTCCTTGCGTTACGCGTGACACCAGCTTAGCCTCTACTGACGCGTCACAAAATCAGCTTTTCTACTGTGGAACTCACCATGACATCACTAATGTTGATCATGATGACCAAAAAAAAAGATGGTATCAGGAGGGGGGCGGGGGAGTGGAGGAAGAGTGGTCTGCAGTGGTTACGCAAAATTGTCGAAAATTTGTTACTGCCAACAAATAAATTTCTACGTAAAGTATCTAATTGGAACGAGAACAGTCCTTCAACAACGAGATTTTTTCGCGTCCTACGCCTTAGCGGCATCATTTCCTCTCCCTGTCCCCTATCCCTTTCCGTTTCTCACTCTCCCGGAAGTTTTTGACATTACTAGAAACCAAAATCTCCAAATAAGGACAAGTCCCTTGGGACTTCTGTTAAATATTTCCAGAACGGCGTGACAGAATCTCAGATCTGAGCTAACTGAAAATGGTGAGGGAAAAATATTGTATAGAATATTGTATTTTAGCCCTCTGCTCCCGGATAATCATACTTAAAAACCTATTTTTCTTTCGCAGGCAACTTTAACGGAAGATCAAATCTCTGGTATCTATCACATTGCCCATTATGGTTCAAGATTCTTATATTAACTTATTCTACGATGCTCGAAACATCGTTAAAATGATACAGCTGTTGTAGTTTTAAATTTTTTCTTCACTTGTTGTTTCAACCTGTACCTTTTTTGTTTTTCGTAGAGCATAAGGAGGCGTTTATGCTTTTCGATCGCCGAGGAGATGGCAAAATCGATTCGGCACAATTGGGTGAAGTACTCCGTTCTCTTGGACTCAACCCAACACAAGCTGAGGTCCACAAGGCGTTAAACGAGGTTGATCCTTCTGGTAAGCAATCAGCCTGTCTAATAATATTAGAGAATCTTGTAGCTGTGATGTACCTGTCCAAAAACTACTCAGTTATTTCGTTGGCATGATTTGATCGAAATACGTTTCATGTTGACTTTTCATTTGCCGCAACTTTGAAATGGCTTGGAATGAAATAAGTTTTAAAGAGCTTCTTTTAGATAATAAACTTACTTAATTCTAAAGTCTTCTTTTGTTTATACGTACACTTCGTTTTAAATCCTTAGCACAATTTTGCGACCGATCGAAGAAATCGAAGTTGATCTAGACTTTTGAGGAAATGTTTCGCTTTCCTTGCAGAGTTCTTGCAGTTAACTAGATATTTATCACAATGACTTAACCCTGTTTGATACTAGCTCGCGTGCGGACGAAAATCCGGCTTTCGATATTGTAGAGATTTTCGAATTTTTGCACAATTCAAATGGACGTCATAGTGATAAATGAATTTTAAGTTTATATTTTTTAACAATCGTGCATAGATGTAGTACGTGCTTGTCGCAGCGTGCAAACTTTTTGAGCTAAAAATAAACAACTAGTGGTCTGCAGTATAACTACTACATTTCAACGGCAAACTGTATTTCGTGCAAACGATTCGTTCAGTTGTGTGTTTTTAATGGGGGAATCTTTTGTCATTCTCCTTGGACTTTTTTCGTACCTAAATTTTTACAAAAGAATCACTGAACCTTGGAATAAATGGAATCATTATTTTGGTTTGATTAGCCTTTTTAACTAAGCGGCGTTCGAAGGGTGAGGCAATTAACACATGTAAATAAACTTTTAGATTGTGTTAATGAAGTGACTTTTTAATGAAAGCTGAAAGCCTTTTATACTTCAAAGGTGCAATAGTGTTTTTATTGCTCATTTAATTGTTAAATTTTCTGTATACCTTATTGACGAATGAAATTTGATTGGATACTACAAAAAAATGATAATTTACAAGTGACTGTACTCAGTGTTCATAGAAGTGATCCCTAAAATGAAATTTTATCCTCCCTAGATGCCTGCTTTTAACCTTTTTAGCCCTGAGAGTGACTAGTAATTAATTTTTCCTTCTAATATCTTCCCTGAATCAAACATCAAGGAAATGAGAATAAAAGAAATGATCACCAACAGAAGAGACTCTTGATTGTTAAACAAATTCTCCTTTTCAGCACCTTAGGAAATGTACAGAAAACAGTTTAGGGAATATTTATATTAATGTTCAGGTTTTAACCCTTTAAACTCTCAGAATGACCAGCATCTAGTTTCTCCTTACAATAATACTGCTGAATCATTCATTCAAGATCATGAGAATAAAGGAATTAATCACCAGCTTAAGAGGCTCTTGATTGTTAAACAAATTCTCCTCGTCAGCACCCTAGAAAATGTATGGAGAACAGTATGGAGAATATACAAACTGATGTTAGGGTGTAAAGGATTAAGGGTAAAGGTTGTCTCAATGAAGTTTTATTGTACCATCTAATGCCAAAGTTTTATGAACAAAAAGTGAACTCTTTTTTAGGTTCTAAACGTATCTCATTCGAGGAATTCTTGCCAATCTTCCACTCCTTTGGTCAAAGGAAGGCCAGTAAAAGTACAAATGAAGGTTTTGTGGATGGCTTGAGAGTCTTTGATAGAGAAGGAAATGGCCAGGTATCTGCCGCAGAGCTGCGTCATGTGCTGACAGGATTAGGTAATTGTATATTTTGGTTCCTTTATCTATGAAAGTAAATGATGGAGAGGAAAAGTGAATTAGAAGAGACAAGCATTGAAAAGCCTGCTTTCTTTGCAAATTAACACTTTAACTCCTAAGAGTGATAACCAACTAATTTCTCCCTACAATTTCACCCCTGAATCAAACATTAAGGCCACACTTGAATAAAGCAGGTGATCAGAAACTTAGCTCTTAGTTGTTAATCCTTTAATCCCAGAGAGTGACTTGCATAAAATTTTTCCTTTCATTATCACTTTTAAATCGCACATTAAGGTCATGAGAATGAGGGAAATGATCACCACCTCAAGATTCTTGACTGTAAAACAAATTCTCCTCATCAGTTCTGCAGGAAATGTATTGAACAGTGTGGAGAATATGCATACTGATGTCTCTTTTTGTTGCAGGTGAAAAAATGACTGAAGAGGAGGTAGACTTACTCCTTAGTGGACTGGAGGACAATCAAGGCCAAATCAATTATGAAGGTGTTTAATTTTTTTTTTTTTCCAGTTTAGGGAGTACTGAATATTGCTTGCCCACTACTAATGAAGCTTTATATCCAAGTTTCTGTGACTATAATTGATGTAATGTTTATGCATGGTTGTAAATGGGTTGTAAGGGTAACAGTTAGGAGATCCAGGTCTTAATAGTTATGCTCCATGCTAGTTCAAATCCTGCCCTTCCCAACCCCCCCCCCCTCCTCCCCTCCTTGAATGCCAGCCGTGCAGGCTAAATGTCCTAAGACTGAAGTATAGATACATTGTACTAAAACAATTTTTTTTATTTTCTGGCAGAATTTGTGAAGACAGTCATGTCTGGATGATCACTATCCACCCCATTTTTTACATACAGAGCTCTTGATCTACTGTGATTAAATGAGATAACAATACAGAAGATTAATTTATCATTGTTAGGATGATTTCATATCATAAGGGATATACAACTACAGTGATTTACAAAGTATTATCTATATAAATATTTTCCTATAGATAGTTTTGTAGAAAATAAAATCAAACAGCAGAACTGGGATCTAGTTAATTGTGTGCCCTTTTTTTTCATCGTCAGTGATGACTGTCAATAACATAACCAAAATGCTGCCAGTTCTTCTAGGAAAACGTTTGCGTTGGAATGTCACGCAAACCCTGTTGCGTGACATCCAAGAAAACAGTTGCGAAGAGACTCGCCGGATGTGTGACACTCGGCGAGAGCGTTTACGCTAGAAGCCAGTTTGGCGAGGCGCATAACGCATTGCGGCGAATAATCTCCTTCACCGTCTTAGTTCGAATCGTCCCGTAATACGCTCTAAAAACACGTTGCGTGACGTGACAAAACGATAGCTGCGAAGGAGACTTCATATGGCGAAAAGAATTCAGCAAATTGTAATTTTTTCAATAAAATTTGTCTGTACCCATTAAAAAAAATCCACTAGGGTTACTTCTTCACCTTAAACACCTTTAGAATCCTTTAAATGATCGATGAAAATGTTAAAAAATATTTGTTTACTGTGGAATGTTTCTGGCCCAACTTGAGATATGTTTATGTTTTCCTTACAACCTCATCACTGAAAGTTTAAGACGTTTCCTATTTTGCGACTAACATATCTTTTTATTTTGTATATTATTCGTTGCATCCTATTGCTTTCGTTTCTCTGATGTTTTGGCAAACAGATGTTATCTTTCAAGTTAATTGAACGACGCCCCCACTACAAGACTTTGAAATTCAATTAACGTTACCTTTCACAGTGTTCATTGGACATCTGATATCTACAAAGGAATGTATACTAATTTTTCTGCATAAACTGAGTAATATTGAATGTCCTGCATATCTTGACGTGAAAACAAATATCAGGAAAGAGAGAGTAACATTTCGTGGTCAGATGCCTTTCGACAAACCTTGAAAGCTCTCGAATGACGCAAAGTTTCGATTTACGGTTTGCGCTTCGTAAAGAATATACTCTCAATTTTTCAAGTTTTTCACATTTAATCCACATTAATTTAAGCCATTCTTGACTCATCCCTGTTTCTATGCACTTCGTTATTTCTTCTGTTTTACAATCTTGGTCGAATTTGTTGACAGTTTGGTAAGGAATTGAGGTTTTTTTTTTCATGCGGTTACAATTTACTTATTACTATTACTGCTAGCCTGAGGAAGTTGAAAAACAATTTTACAAGGTAATTTCTCAAAAACTACTCTGAATTAAAAATGCTCTTTTGTTTACAATTTTCTTTCTCTGGAAAACTTCCTACCACCCCGACCCATGGTATGATAATAATCACTGACGCGCTCCACGACGTCCACGCCCTGTTAACGCGCTGTCTGTGATTCCTGGATTTCCTAGTCTAAATAGGTGACTTCATTTAGCTTTGGGTCAAACGCTCAAAGTCACTCGGGCGCACCACAACCTCGCTTCAACACTTTCCTCTAACCGCCGAGATGTCCCAACCAACTCAAGAGGAGATGGACGGTTTGTATACAATTCAGAATATCAATAATGTTGTTCACAACAACACTTACAATTAGAAATCTTTCGCAAATATTTTCTTGCAGAGTACAAAGACGCTTTCGCTTTATTTGATAACGAAGGCGACGGCAAGATCGAGTCGGATCAGATCGGTAGGCTGCTTCGTTCTTTGAACCTCAACCCCGATGACGAAGACATTGTGAAGATCGAAAAAGAAGTGGGTGAGTAATGAAGAATTTTTATCGCGCAATTACGATCTGATCTTTGAATTCCTATTAATTGATCGACATTCAGAAGTTATCTTCTTTGATTCGCGTTAAACACCGGTCAGGGGGCTTTTGTTCTGAGAATGATAACAATGCTATCGTTTGGCCTAAGAGTTATTCTATCCATTTGGTAACTTAAACGTTTATGTTCTAGATTTTGCGACCCATAACAAACAAATTTTAAGAATTGTTGAGAAAGGTGCCGCGAATGAGACAAACAGATGTTGCGTTACGGTTCAACTTCAACTGTAAAATAGACAAGTTATTGTAGGTTAGGCCTCATAAAGCTGATTTATCTCATCTTTCGTCAAGCTGGCTTCCCATGTCGAGCGATGATCTCTTTCTGTTGCGTTTTTTTCGTCACGCGAGTAAATGAAGAGTAGTTAGTGTTTTTATTTGATGTGTGATAACTAAGACCATTTCACCTCGTACATGCATGATTAGTAAGCAGGTCGAGAAACAATTTGAAAAAAATATGAGTTCTGAAAACAGTCACAGAAGAAAATCGTGTCTAAGTAACAATGCGTAAGGTCCTTTCCTGTTACACACTGTAAGAGTAGTAATTAGCTTGGCGATTCAATCGAAGAAAAGTATTCATTTCACTGTTAAAAAGTCACTTGTTGATTGATTTTGCATCCTTTCACGGTTGTGATCACAAGCGCTTCGAGTAGTTTGGCGTGCGTCTACGAAAAAAAAAATCACCAAAATTAATATCCAAGGACCAAAGAAAATAATCAAACGTTTTGGTGAAAGGGACATGTCATCTGGAGTATCATGTTTCATTCGAGGTCCATCATTTTGTCAGTCTTTCACAAAATGGCACAGGAGATTCTTAGTGAAAACAACTTTTTTACATAAACAGCCGCAGGGAAATGCATTGTGCAAATTAACCTGCTCGCATTAGTGCCTGACGGATTGTTAGAGGTGCTGTAATTAACTATTATGTCTTATCTCTTTTGTTGTTGATTTGAGCTAAATCTCGTCCGTAAAACTCGTTAAAAACGCATTTCTTCAATATTATTGCAGTTTACAAACTCGACCTTTTCTCCTTTGTCCGGTACACGCAAACTTTTTGGTTGAAATTGGTTTTAAGATGAGAATGTTTTGAACAGAAGTCCTCATTCCCAAGACCAACTTTTAATTCAGGTCATGCCCTTCGATTATATTATGTGAAAGCTGATACATAATCATCCTACATCGCTATCACAAGTAACACAATCAGGACATCTTTTCACCAGTTTAGGAAAATTCACCCGATTCTGTCCTTCAAGGGCACAAATTTTTTAAAATTTTATTTTGTTCTTTCTTTTAATGAGCAGTCTTCTTGAGAGTTTTAAAAGTGATTCGTGCAATTATGTACCAAAGGTTATCACTTAATTGAAACACCCACACCGTCAATTATTAAGATGGCGAGAAACTCAGCCCAATATTTGTGATAAACAATGACATTCGTTGCATAAGTCTGTTGCTATAATCCATGACATACAAGCCAGATAAGATAAGATTAAAATGTCTTTTGATAGCCCAAACTACAGATTGAATCAAAAACGCTTTACACCAGTCCAAAATAGACCTCAGATTTACGATCTCTCACTGATTCACACAATGTTGCTTTGATTTTCTCTTGCGTGATCCTCGTCCGGTTCAAAGTTGACTGTTTCATAAGAGACATTTTAATTGCAAGATCAGAAATCGCTCAGGGTGAACGACTCGTTAGAGCCTAGTTAATATTTTTCGTGGGTGTGTGGTGGTGGGGGGGAGGGGGATGTACCGAACTCGTGGGGTACATTCTACTCTCAATCGTTAAGTCCTAGTTGTTTGTTGTTTATCGTCAACATTCACCACGTCACAAACTTAGAACACTCTCTTCCAAAACCTATCACTCTAATCATCACGTCTCCTATTCAATTGTTACCTAACCTGGAATGCGTAAATGCCATGTCACGCAACTTCCGTTAAGAGGGGGATTTTGGTGATGTCATGTTAAAATTTGCCTGTTTCCCCCATAAGGCTCTGTGACATTCTTAGGCCCCCCCGTCACTGGTAGTTAATTGGCAGTCAGTTTTCTATAGTTCGCCCTTTATCCTCTGTTGACGACGACTGACCCCCTCCCCGACTGACCCCTCCCTCTCTCATGAAAACCATGAGACCCTCTGCAAAATCCTCCCGCCCCCTCCCCCTTCATTAAATAATGAATTGTCCCCTAGATCCCACTAAACGATGATAAAACATCGTCCCACAGTTATAACCCTACCCTTCACCGCTACCTTGGTGCCCTTTCCACACCCCTCACCCTCTACTATTATACCCATGATCCCACCCCAGTTTAGGCTTGTCCCGCTTGTGATCGACTACCCTTGAGCAACCTCTACCGTTTGGAGCAACTTTTGGTGGTTCTAGCAACGTCAGAAAATTTTTGGTTTAGAGCACTTATCAAGCACGAAAAAGTCAACGATTTCATAGAAAAAATCAATTTATGCAAATTTCTTGGAATGATTATTAACCTTGAAGGGCTCAGCCAATAATTTTTTTACTCACTTGTGTTGTAGGCAATCGCCGTGTCAAGTTTGAGGAGTTCCTCGCTATCTTCTTGGCTGAGAAACAAAAGGCAAAACTGGTCACCGCCCAGCAGTTTATCGACACGTTGAGCGTTTTTGACAAGGACAATGCCGGCAAGGTCTCCTCTGCTGAACTACGTCACGTGTTAACCGCGCTCGGTAAGCTGGGAGCCATAAATCTTTTTGGTCCATAAAGCTTCTTTTCATTTGGGTATGGTAAAACCGAACCCGTTATAATCCAAACGTGTCATCAGAACAGGGTAAAAGGTCTTAACCCTTTTTATTCCTAGAAGGATTAACATGTAACTTCTCCCTATAATACCATACACTATCCAGCAAACAGGTAGTAATAATACTGAAACTTATCAGTTACAAAATATTTTCTTGATCGAACACCAAATTCTCGTAACCAATTTACAAGGAAATGTGTAGCAGCTAGAGGAGAGAACTAAAAATCAGATCTTGGGAGCCAATGAGTAAAAAAAAAGTCACGCGTGGGATCAAGTCACGAATAGTTTAAGCTTTACATTTGATTGGTCGGGGAGATGGTGTGAGTTTTTTGGACCAATCACAGAGCTAAAGAAAGCAAAACTCGTCTCATCTAGGACACTAAAAGCTAGAACCAAGTCAGGCCTTGAGTCCCAGTGATTCAAGACCCTCAAAACGGTCATTTGTTGGCCAAAATTGTACAGAATCATTTGCAGTTTGGTTTTTTTTACAGTGAAGGGTTTTGATTGTTCATTGGTTAAGTTCAATGGGTTGGGGGGTACTGATGACGTATTCTATTCGTCGCTATTTGGGTCTACAACGAGCTCCATTTGACCCAAATGAAACAAATTGGAATTTCGCTAGTAACCGCAGGTAATTAGCGCGTAGGACTAAATCAGCGGTCAAGCCAGGGCATGCGCGAGGGATCAATGTTGGGTGTTCGCGCGTTAATTTCCCGCGCACAATTTCGAAGGTAAACATAACAAAAAACCGCCGTCTCGCAAAATAAGTAAAAGAAAATTCAAAACGTTCATAGAAATCTGTGAAAGGAAAAATAAGGTGGGAAAGGGAAAACTTTCAGACTTTTCGAACACAAAGCTAATTTCAATTCGGATATCTTGTAGATTTACCACTCTGTTTTGAGCTTTGCCAAAAAAGTTATACGCCTTTAGAATACCGCGACTTACTAGCTTGTGTGATTGTCTATAACACGTGATAGACAACTTGATTCTAACAGCTTGAAAGCTAGTAAATACAACGTTTGCAAATGCGCAGACGTTTGACCGCTTGCCTGTGTTGCTGGCCTACTGGTGAAGAGTTCCCTTTACGAGCCCTCAGTCGGTGAACGGGTTTTGTTGACTGTTGCGTTTTGCTTTGTGTCAGACACTTCATTGGTCGTTTATAAATCAGTCCTATAATCATTGAACCAAGACCAATTAACATATTTAAGTCCAAGGTAGTTCTCGCAAGGTTGTGTCTATTTTTAATCGTAACGAATTGTTTTGTTTCAAAGGCAATAAACTCAGAGCCAAAGAAGTGGACGTTTTATTTGAGGATGTTGGGGAGCATGCCGGATATGTCAACACTGCAGGTATGATAAACTTGATTCCAAATCCTTAGTCCACTTCAGAGAACAAAATCGAGCAATTATATTAAATTACTTATAAATGTTTGGTTCTCCTTACTCCGCAGATTTCGTCAACATGGTCATGTCGAATTAGCAACGAAGACCGCTATGTACCATAACATGAAGTTTTAGTGATCGATGAGTCGTGGAAACAATTTGATGACAATAAACAATAGATATGGCCTTAATTTTTTTCCTGATTTCCAGGGCTTACAAACGAGAGAAGCGTAAATTGATTTAAAACATGGTAGCATTTCTTTTTACATCTTATTAAAGAGATTTTAACTTTACGTAATGACTTGAAGTATTCGTTCACGCTTTCTGAGATTCTTCATTCCCCTACGAATTCCTTACAGAATTACCGAAAGACTCAACAACTCTTCAAGAACTCTAGCTGCTGTTTATAAATGCGTCAACAGGCTCTCACCAGTTCACTCTGTAAACCCTACCATCAGTGTACATATTCTCCGTACTGCTTTCTAGACATTTCCTGAGGTACTGACAAGGAGAATTTGTTTTACAATCAAAAGCTTCTTTAGCTGATGACAATCTCCTTTATTCTCATGACCTTAATGTTTGTTTCAGGGATTATATTAGTAAGGAGAAATTGGATGCTAGTCACTATGACGCTCTTCACTTGACTTTCTATGATACGCTAAATCCTACAAGCAATTTGATTGGTTCTTACCTCTGATCTATTAGAGGAGAGACGCATAGACTACGTCACCATTAATGATATTTCGCTTTTTTATCGCGCAAAACAAATAGATTTCATTTTTTCTTGGGTCTGTACAGTAAAAAATCCATAAAAGATGTCAGAATTACTAATAACAGGCAAACTGCCAGAAGCGCAAGAAAACGCGGGTGTGCAAGTCACGGGTGGCATTGGTTCTGCGTTTGATTGGTTGAGAAGATACGCGAGACTGGTTTTCTGGACCAATTACAGAGCAAGGGAAAAAAACCCAAAGCAATCCTCGACTCTCAGTTGAAAATTGCTCTAACATGATGGCGTCGGATTCGTCTTATGTCAGAACTGTTTGACGTCATTCTCGGCCAGGCGGCGTTTCATTATATCTTTCATCATCAGATTTACAGTTTTTCTTAAACTTTTCGGGTTTAGGAGCCGCACCAAACTCAAATACATGCAAACACTGCTGGGCGTAAAGATAGCGAGTTTTGCAGTCTTTCTCGTACTTTTCAGTTTTTTGAGCCACACCAAACTCAAATACATGCAACACTGCTGAGCGTAGAGAAAGCGAAAGTTAAACGCCTGAAACGAATGTAAAGCTTCATGTGGTGTGTTCTGGCAAATGCAATAACCAAACAATTCAAACTGGTTGTTTTATGAACTCTTTTCAAACGAATAAAGGTCATGTCCAGTGCCAGATGCCTCAGTGAGATCTGAGCGCCTTGTCATGCCATGAAGTACGAACCGCGAAGTACGAACCGCGACATTTCGTTCGAGTATCAGAGAGAAACCGCTGGAATAACATACTGAAGAGAAAGATCCTCGTGAAGTAGAAGAAACTGGACCGCCTTCCCATGCACAATATCTGATGTGGAAAAGTAAACAAAGCAAATATTATAACCGCTATCTGACAGGAGATGCGCCCCCCGGGGGAGGGATTCCTCGTAATAGGCTGACGGGGATGTGCCACTGAATTGGGTGGCATTTTCACGACTGAATTGATTATAATGGGGTTGCATTTTCAATATGGTTTCTACAATAAGGTCATAGAATTTCGACACTTTGAGGGCTAGAAAATTCTGGCAGGTAGGGATCAAAAAAATGTGAAGATTAGCGGTTAAGAAGTTGAACCATATTCGCAAATGTTATCAAGATGGAGTCTTTAATTGACTAAATAATAGAGTATAATGGGTAGGAGTTCTGAGAGGCCAGCGGCACATAACCAGTAAAAATTGACTCAAGTTGCCCCCCCCCTGCATCAAGTCCGATGAACAAGAGAACAACTCAGAAGCAACCAGTGCTGGTACAACAATCTGACATGAAACTATTAAAAAAGATAAGATTGAAATTTTAAATTGGTCGAACTTGAAATCAGACATTTTGGCATTTTATGGTTTAGATTTACAAAGCTGCAGCAGCGTTTTACACAATGTGAGGTCATAGTACTGTGCTACTTTCAAGGGGAGCAAGTAAACCCCTGAAACAACACAATGGAACAACACCCTTTCAGCAGTGAGATGATTTTGCCCTAGCTGAGGAAGATTGATTTGAAGAGAGGTTTTCAACTGGCCGTTAGCTGCAAGCAAGCCCTTGTAATAGCCCATTATTATCAACGCTTAGGCACGAGTGTTTCTTCACCAGCGAGAACGTACGAGGCTTGGAGCAACACGAGCCCACGAAAGGTCTGCAAGGGGTCTAGCGCTGATAATTAGCGCCAGACCCCTGGCAAACCTCTCCTCAACTCGTCTCAAATCTCCCCGCAGGTGGAGAAACGCGCATCTTGTATAGTGAGGGCCTTCTTGCAAGCTATTTGGCTTTAGAAACAATCATAATAAACTTGAACAACTAGGTCCAGGTCACTCGCATTTTCTGGCAATGAGGCCCAGGTTACATGTTTTAACTTCGAGTTCACATGGACAACAGATATTTCCCTTCCTTCTGATTAGCCGCTGTGGTTATGTGTGGTTATGTGTGGTTATGCTGTGGGTATGGTTTACGAAGATTAAGCAAAAAGCGCTCTAAAAAGATCTTTACTTACTGCAGATGACGCGGTTTGGACTAACTTGCTGACTGTGTAGAAAGGTGGCGAGTTTCTTAACATCAACCCTTGCCTCTGCCATCTTGTCAGGATCCCGGTTCCGCTGTTGAGACGATGTGTCACCTGTAAATGTTTGAAAAACTGAAGTTTACAAGGTGCAGTTTGTGGTACACAAGGGTAGTAAAACAGATATAGCAGGAAAGTATCCAAGGGAGGGGGTAGAGCAGGGTTTCTTAGTAGGATAAAGGGGATAGGCTTCTAAAGAAAATGTAGTGTTGGGTCGGTGGGAGAGTATAACAAGGTAATTTAGTATTATCATCTGAGTTGGTATCATAAATTGGTCACCGTAAAGACTTTCAAAGCTGACCTTTTGAGCGTTAGCCCTTCGTCAGAGCGAATAAATACACACACAACCCACAATTCCTCCATTTAAAACACCGTGACTCACTGGTTTGTGTGTATGTCTATACCTCTTACAAGACAACTTGGTTTTGAAACCCTGCAAATACGCCACCTCACCGGTTTATCTCGTCATGCCCTCGCCATTAACGCGTTTGCACATGGGCAAACGTTTGACCACTGTTTTGAGTCAACAACTCTCTTTATTTGATAACTGAGCAAAATATCCTACTCAATCGGTAAACAAAAAAATTATTGACCCCACGTAGGTGTGTCCAAATTCTTGAAATGTGTTGTGACAGATGCTAAGTCCGTGTCGATTCCAAGAGTCATGTAACCATTTTGATTCGCTGCAAGAATCTAACAAAAACAAGTACAAAAATTAATGGACTTATTAAATAGAACTATTTTTAAGTGAGCGTCGAAAGTAATTCCCTTACAATGACGTACATTGGCAAAAGTTTGGAATGAAAAAGAAAAACAGCAACTCAAGACCTCAATCAGATGTCCCTTTTATCTATGACAAGAAAACCCTGAAGGTTTTTTCAATCGAGAATTTAAAACATAAATAGTGCAGTTACTTGAAAAGTGTAAAATCAAAATTTACCAAAAAATTGCTGAGGTTCTTCATTCGTTCAATTACGTTCTTAACAACTGTGAGGGATGGCATGTAGATGCTAACCTGTGAAAAACAAAGAAAAATACATCAGCCATTCACCATGCATTCTCTTTATTATCACATCTATATATAAACTATTATGATCATACTTTGAAGGTTGCTTAAGCCTTGTGGGGGATGTGGTGCAAACTGCCAGAGCCCCCTTGGTACAAATTTCTTTCTTACTCCAGCCTTCCTCTACTGTAAAAATCAAAGATGGCAGCTTTAGTTTTCACTGAGAAAATACTTTAAGCACTTGCTTTCATAAAATAAGGCCTGTTCTGCAGGCTTCATTATTTTTTGCATGTAAAGAGGTACTGTAAAAGCTTGTCATTTTTCCCTGAGTGGATAGGGACATTGTGATAGGAAACCACTTTGCCTAGGAACATGAAACAGTGACCAATTGGGGGGTCAACATGGATCTTTTGACTCAGAGTCTGGAGAGATGCTAAGGACCATTGGTCAGTGTACTGGGCCCCAGGTCGAGAGGTCTGGGTTCAAGACTTGACTGGGTCAATGTGTTATGTTCTTGGGTACAACACTTCATTCTCATGGTGCCTCTCTCTATCCAAAAGTATAAATTGGTCCCAACGAATTGTCAGGGAAGCCTGAAGAAATACTGGGAGGTTATCTTGCAATGGACTGGCATCCCATCCAGGGGAAGTGGTAATACTCCTAATCAGTTTGCATCTAGGAAACTGGGATAAGCTGCCACTGAGTGGGCCATTAAGCTCAAGTACAGACTTAACCTTGCCTTTTCAGCTGACAATGAAGCCAATGATTCTACCCCAGTAGATAACCTACCACAAAAAGTCTTAAAAAGGGCAAGGAAGTTAGGATTGAAACAGCACTTACATCAAATTCAGGCATAGCAGGTTCCTTATAATCGTCCCAGTCTCTCTCAGGTATGACTCCTACTGGTACATCATGCACTACACTTCTTGTGTGACTCGTGAGGGATGGCTGCCCAAAGAATTTCAGTCACAAGTTAAGAACTCAATCTACCATTATATCAATAGGCCATTTCTGAATTACTTTTGGCCTCTTTTTTAAAATGAGGTCTGGTGCTAAACCAACGATAATGATCATCACATGATTTTTTATCACCATATCAATGTCAAAATTTCCAAATCATCCATGTTTGAGAGCCGATAAAGGCATTGCATGAAACGTTGACACGAGCAGCATTGTCTGCACTCCTATTGACAGTGGCAACTGGCCAATCAGATTGTGTCATTACTGCCAACTGTGGTACAATACATTTTTTTTAAATATATTGACATTGTAAAAAGGGAAAGAAAATTCATTTTCAGCAATTCCTGGAAATGAAAAGGTGAGAAATTTCTGCATTAAACACAGTTCAAACAATTTCAGTTTTCATACAATACTATCAAAGCAGCTTCACTTACCAATGTAATCTCAAAAGTTAAACATGGTGCGTGTTTTTTAGTAAGTTTTATTTTGACGGCTTGTGCACTGCTGGCTGATTTCATGGCTCGCATCAGGTTTTCTGGTATCAATTCAAGGTAAATATTGTTGCTCTCCTCCTTTCCTTCAATGCGATACTCCTCAAAAAAGTTGCTCTGAAATAAAGAAATCAATGCATGTTGTAATGACTAAAGCAGACATCTATATATCTTAAGGATCCAGTTTCACAGAAATTGTTTTCAAATAGGTAATTACCATCAGAGAACATTATGCTGGGGTTGGCACTTTGTAAATTACTTGGGTGGAGTGGGTGGGTACATTGCACAAGGACAATGAAATCCTACCCAGGAGGGGTACTGATGGGAAATGTGACCCGAGTTGTTCAAAGCTGGGTCAAGATAACCCAGGGTTAGAGTGAAATTTGATTCCAGGTCTGAAAGCTTTAAAATAAATTCAGTTCAAATCTTGTTGCTTGCAATTTAGTCACTGGATGTTATAACAAGACTAGGGAAATTTTTCCCTAAAAGGCTTTGGAAAAAAGAAATAAAGCAGACTGGATCAAATATAACCCTTGGTTAGTGCTAATCAGCCTTCAAAAAACTGGGTCCTGAGTGGGAGTGTGATGCCAAGGCCTCTAAGCCATGAATCTAATTAGAATTTTCAAACCCAGAATTGATTAATCAGTCATTTCTCCTTACAATATCAAAATAGTATCATCAGATTTAACAGACCTGTATCAATTCACACCAAATGGACACTCCCCCCAGTGCAGCATTGTCAGCCAGGATGAAATAAAGTTTTGTCGGGGTCATTCGCAAGGCACACGTCTTGGCCATATGGGATACCGTGCCTAAGACACCTACATTGTCAACATGAAATGATATGGAAATACATTTAATAAACGTTCTCTTGACTTGTAAACACGTTTTAAAGAACGAAGTACGTAAATTTTACAAAAGGTGTGAGAAAGTGTCAATACTTTGAGTGTAACAAGGCTGAAAAAATGTGATCGTATAGTCAGCTGATCGTTTGAGAGTGGCTCTGAGATAGAGGGACTGTTCTCTATAACATTAGCGAGATTCATCCTCAAAATGGACAAACAAACCGATTTAAGATAGTACCTCCCTTCAATTCAACAAAGCACTACACTGCATCCATTCTGCAATCTCTGTCATACGATGCGGCTTTCTATTTCGCTTTGCTGAAGAAAACGAATTATGATGTAATCTTATGACTTACGTGTGAAATGCTGTATGGAATTGATGTCTACCATCCTTGCTCGAAAACGCATATTGATTGGCAATTTCGCAAGAATCAAAGGTAAACTCTTAGGTCATTTCTACTCAAAACTACCGCCATTTTGTATACTACCCACAATGCTCATCAAATCGTTTGATGCGTGGGGTCTGGGACAGAAAAACGTTAAGCAGGTTCTTACGGGTTATTAATCCTTTATATCTTCATGTACTTGTAAGGAAAATATTTAGGACTTTAGAAATACCTCACCCGCTAGAATTTTCTCTCTAATGAAGCTTTAAGTACCAAATATAAACAATTTTATTTTTAAGTAAGTAAATTTCAACGCATATCTACTATTGTGTCCTTGTGGCCTAATGGATAAGGCGTTGGCCTCCGGGTATATAGGAAGAAGCCAAAGATTGAGGGTTCGAGTCCCTTCAAGGACGAATATTTCTTTTAATTTTCGCTTTTACGTGAGACGAAGAAAATTAGCGAGAAAAGTTTAAATAAGGGTCGAAAGTCATTCACTTATCGCATGCGAAACGAGTTCATACGTAGGTATCTGTGTAAGGCTTTCACGTCATTAAATGAGATATTTAACAAGAATTTTCCATACACCAGACATAAGCATGAAATAAATTAATTTCCACCCGGTTCCATCTACTCGGAGATAAAAATTTTACCACTTTAAAGACCATCATTATGCTCGGAGTAATACTCTGCAGCACGCTGGTTTATGTAACAGATAGAGATTATCTTTTGTGAGGGCCAAAAATAAAAATTAAGCAGTATATTAACCCTTTTAATACACAAACATCAGTATTGATATTCTCCATTCTATTTTGTTTAAAATTTCTATGTTACTGATAAGGAGAATTTTTCAAGAAATCATGAGCTTCTTAGATTTGTGATCATTTCCTATATTCTTATGGCCTTTGTAGTTGATTCAAGGGTTATATTTTAAGGAGAAATTAGTTGCCAATCAGTCCTAATATGAAGGGCAAGAGATTCTCAGTGAGTGGGGCAGAAATACCTCAGACCCCCTTAGCTGGTATTTTGTGACACTCAGGATTACCTTTAAGAACAAATGTACAGTTAAAATTTCACACACATGGGCCTTTTTTTTTAAATGACTAAGGAGAAAGTTTCTTAACATTTTGTGTAGTATTTTTCTTAGAAATATAAGGATTGGCTCAAGCAGACTTGCTTTACTTTGGTCATGGAAAGTTAACCCTTTAACTCCTAAGATCTGACTGTTAATTCTTCCCCCCAGCTGCCATACGTTTCCATGTTAATTAGTTACGAGAACTTGGTGCTGGATCAAGACAGCAGCTTCTACCTGATAAATTTGAATACTCTCATTACCTGGGCCCAGTTGTATAACCCTTTAACTCCATGAGTGACCAAAACAGACTTTCTCCTTACAATAACAACCAGGTAAGTGATGAGAATAAAGAAAAATGTCAATTTGGGGATAATTAGTTGATCCAATTGTAAATTCCCTGAACTAATATTGTAAAAATTGTATGGTTGACAATAAAGAGAATTACAAATTTGATCTGGGAGTTAAAGAGTTAAAGGGTGAATAACACCATCAAATAGATAAATCGCTATCCAGGGAATAAGTAATAGCAAAATGCATGGCATTATTCACCGGTTATCCAATCTTCAAACAACTGGGACCTGTTTGCTGAAAAATGTATATAGATATTATAGGGAGAAGTTTCATGTTAATCAGTTCTGGGAGTTAAAGGGTAAAGGATCTAAGGAGGGCACTGGAACTCTGTTGTCACAATTTCCCTGATTAGAAATTCTCTTTGTTAGGTGACATGCATTTCTATGAACATCAGTAAAGAGAAATTGGTTTAATATCAGGACAATACTCTCTACTCGAGTCTGTCTATTCCCACCAACTACTTGCTGAATAACATATGAAAATTGTGAGAAGAAACACTTTAATCACTGCTGGGAGGCAAAGGGTGAACTGGATAACAGTAACTGTTTTCATCACAATAAATCAATTGAACTCTAAATGTATATTTTATTGCAATTTTTTAAAATTTTATCATTTTACAATTAAATTCAAAGACATTTGTGTCAAATAAAAGATTGGGGTTTGCATTGCTCAATAAATTTCTCCTTGTGTTTCGCAAGGAAAAGCAAGCTAATTTGAAATGAGAATCTAGCACTGCATGAGAAGTCTCTAAAGACTTTTTTCACACAATTTCAGTGCAAAAGTTAATTTAGTGCTACTGGAGCATGAACCAATAATATAAATAGACAAAAAACTGACCATATTTCCTCATATGAAAAGTACCATATTTCCTCTAAAGGGGAGGGGGGCACTTATTGAAAGGCAGTTGCTTAATCAAAGGGGGGCCCTTTTTTAGTTTGTGCAGCAAAAGGAAAAACTCAGGAACTCAGCAAGCACAAGGAGATAGAAATAGCTTGTATCCCAACCATTAAGAAAGCGAGGAAGGAGGGGGAGGGGGGTATTTATTCCAGAGGGGTGCTTGCTTAACATTATAACCAAGAGGGTGGGTGCTTGTTCAAGGAAATATGGTAGTTAAAAGTGAAACTCGTCTGCATCAAAAACTAATGAAATCAATAATGTGTGGATCAAATTTGGTACCAATGTGCCGTGAACCAGTAAACTTGACATGACCTGTCTTTATCAGCTGCGTGAAACTTGAACAGCTGGAGCCAAACATGAAACCACCAGTACCTGCTGGGACACCCCCAAGACTACTGAATGCATTTGGGCCACTTTGTATACATCGACACTGTCGGAAATCTGCACCTGAGATGTCAGCATTCGTGAAATCAACCACTACATGACTGGAAAACTCACAACCATAGAAACTTGTGTTTACCAGACAAGCCTCTGCAAATGAAACATTATGTGCAAATGTTGTATGTGCAAAGGAAAGACCTGAAAGGTTTTTACCACTGAAATCTACATTATTTTTGGTCATGTTGTGGGAGACAAAGTCTGCATTTTTAAATCTGGACGAGCCTACTGCTGCATCTGGTTTGGGCTGACTTGGTGAAGGACGAGCGCTTGTGGAGGCCTGTCTTGTCAAGGTCGCCAGCATGTCATTAATTTCATCCTGGGTAAAGTCTGGCGCCGGTGGTGGCGGATCCAAGATATTCTCCACGCTAGCTACTAGATCACTGAGTTGATAATAGTGCGCCTCGTTTATGATTTCCCTCAGTGATATTTCATCCTGTGGAAGCAAATCAGGTCTAAACCCATCACGGAGATAATTTAAAATGTGCCTGAAATGGGTGCCATCTCTGTCCACGAAATAACTTCCATCTGGTTCTTGTAAAAGTTTGTGCCTCCCTGAAAACATGGTAGCTAGCATTGAGTCTTTGTCTCGCCTCAGAGTCTGAAGGGAAGTCGTGAAACGATGCCCTCCTATGTTGAGATGAACAGGTGATGATTGGAATTCATACACTTCTTCCATACTTTTCTTCTCTTTTTCAATCCGTTGCCTTGTCTCGTCAAGATCTTTGTATTGCTCTTGAATTGCCATTTCCTCGCTTTCTCGCCTAGCCTTCATTTCTTGTTCAAATTCAGCACGATCTCTTGCGAGTTGCTCGCTCAATCTCGTCAGCTCACTCTCGCGTTTTTCAAACGAAGTCAAGAGATCGTTAAGTTTTCCGTGAACTTCACGACTCCAAGATTCTCCGTCAGACATGTCTTTTAGTGTGGATAATCCTTTCTGGCAGACTCTTCTTCCGATTTTCAAAGATCGACTGATGAAAGTTTTTGAGAGGGGAATAACTATTGACGATAAGCCAAAACAAAGGAGAGACACGTGTTCAGCGGAACGTACTGCGGCCTCATATAGAACAACTTGGGTTGGAAAGGGAAAAGAATTGAGGCTCGTAACATATCTTGTTCTTGTAAATCATTTCCTAAGTGAAAGTATGTGTAATGTCACAAAGTAAGAAGCGAGTTAATCTGACGTGGCACTCGAAACTAGACTTTCTTGGGGTGTGGTAGTATGGGGAGGGGGGAGGGGAGGGGGACTTTCAATTACTTTTCTGACGTATTGATGGGGGGGGGGAGTGGCGGCTTGAACTTCACCTCTCAGGGACAGTTCCCACATGCCTAACTTAGCGCATTTCACCGATGATTCACTCTCTTTTCTACGTATGTTACTTTTCAAGATGGTGATTCGATATATATATTTATATTTATCTTATGAGTGTATAATAAGTGCCAGACCCCCGGCAAATCTCTCCCCGACTCGTCTCCAATCGCGGGCGGCGACACGCGCGTTCTGCATCGTTAATAATGATTGCCAACTCGAAAGCTAGAAAAACGCAGTCGCAACTGTTTTAAGTTTGACGCTTATAAGTTCAACGGATGATACGAGTTTCAAAGACAAATTACAAGTCGCAGTGAATCACCAATCTCTGATAATTTCGCTCCAGCTTTAACCCTTTACACACTAACATCAGTATGCATATTCTCCATACTGTTCTCTATACATTTCCTAAGGTGCTGACAAGGAGAATTTGTTTAACAATCAAGAGTTTCTTTAGTTGGCGATCATTTCCTTTATTCTCATGACCTTCATGTATGATTCTGGGCTGATAATGTGGGGAGAAATTTCATGCTGGTCACTCTTAGGGGTTAAAAGGTTAAGACCAACAGGCTACAACTCGTTTTCCAACAATTCGCCTGCTTGGGCAACTCTATTTATAAAGCAAAAATTCCAACATGTGTTTAACTTCAATCTACGTTTTAATTCACACAGTTCTTCAAAATGTTACTCAAGTAACAATCCATGTTGCTGTACCCAGCGTCTGTTTCTCCTAGGTATCTGTCTTAAACAGAATATTTGTAATCTCTACTCGCGTTACATGAAAAATGCACTCTCTTTCAGCCAATCAGAAGCATGTGATTTTTTCATGTACATTATCAACCATTAAACACGTCCATATTAAATGATAAAACACGTTTATTCCACTAGGAAGTTTTGAGAGTTCAGGTTCATTTCCCCACCCCAAAAAGGCAAGGTCTAAGTCTCCACAGCATTGCCCATCTCCAGGGCCTTCGTCTGAGCTCGACTCTTCATTAGCTCCACTGTGTAAAGTTGTCAGGAAGGCTATCTAAGGCTTGCCTTGATCCTGCACAGTAGACGGGAGCGGGTATGTCTTAAGCAGTCGTTGAGAAGAATCTAGAGGTCAATACAGCTTGAGAGCATAAGTATTAGAGTTAATCAACGCGTCTTGATTCCATCTTTTGTGATTTTGTTATTTGTGATTTTCCATTTCTCTTAGCAGGCTACCAATTCGAAGGAAAGATCTTGATTGAGTGCAGCACGTTCTGATCTCTTATCCTCATGAGTTCGATCTCATCTCCTATCATCTGGCGGTGATTCCCATGGCAATAAAATTCACATCTTTGAGCGTGTAAGCCAGAAAAATTCCTGTAAAGCAAATGCAGAACATAACATTAGTTAGCCTCCTAGACGCTAGGGGTTTTAGAAATCTCTCCTCCTTACTCTCGCCAAATTCTCATCACTTATCTGGTTGATATTCTATCGATATTGTAAGGAGAAATTCTGTCTTGGTCACTCATGGAGGTTTAAGGGCTAAGAGTGGTTAAAATTGACACCGATTGTAAATGACGAACTTGGAAGATTTTTCAACATCCCCAAAACCATAAGGGTGCTCAATCTGTGCATTTTCTGACTACTTTACCTGCGGTTTGCGGTCGGCATAGGGGCTTATCATGACGTTGATCAACACTGGTTTCTTATTCTTTCCCGTCTCGACGAAAGCGCTTTCCAACGCTTTCTTCAGTTCATCCGGAGTCTCTGCGAAGAAACCTTTTCCTCCAAATGCTTCGATAATTCTCTCATACCGTGCCTTGGGTAAAAGAGCTGTTGGAGGTGCACTAGAGAGAAATGTTGACAAACAAACAAATCTTTTATTTATCATACATAATCTTTCTTTACCTATCACACAACGTGGAGAACAAGTTGGAATTGAGAGTTGAAGTAATCCGTGACTGGCTTAGTTTTGCTTTACTTCGCTGTGTGATTGGTCCAGAAAACTCGCGCCACTTTCTCAACCAATCAGATCCAAAAATAGAACCGATCGCGTATTGATCACTCGCGTTTTCCCGCGCTACCGGCAGTTTGCTTCTTTACTTTGAGTTTTCATTGGCTCTTTCGTATATTTCCTTAATTCTGATTGGCTGTTTGTGCTTTCTTTGGTTTGATTTAACGACATGTGATCGAAAAGCACTTTAAGATGAGAATTGCTTATCCAAAACCAAAAACTCCCACGGGAACTCACAAGACTTAAATATCATCAGGGGTATACAAGACTTAAATAACATTTCAAAGGGGAAATAACAGGGTTATACAATCATTCTGGTATGTTGTCAAATAAAAGTATTGTGAAAGTATTTACTCTGCCTCCAGTTTGAGTTATATCGTATGGTTTTGAAAGGCAATCACGCCACCACCAGGTCGCCACTATACAAACTGTAGTTGGTGTGGTAGCCAGTGTTAAGTAGTAAGAGAATAGATAGCTAAATTTAATTTTATTTAAATTTATTAAAAATTTTGAAAATGTGAACTACTTAAAATTTTGATTTTGAGTCTCAACATGCAATCATCGCCATTTTCTGTGTTGTACGGGGAATAAAATGTGTTTTTCTATTTGGGTTATCATAATAAAGGAAATTAATTATAGGTGCAATTCCAGTTAAAACATTTGATGTTCAAAAGTCGTGAACATCGCCCGTCCAAGTAACCAAAAATCTACATGAGACAATTGAAGGACTTGCAACAGGCAATAAGAAAAAGGAAAACATAATTACATTATAATAACACTCGTTACTTCCTTTTTTACCGTCGACGGTTCACAACCACTTGTACCATGTAACTATACCTTTTTGCAGGATTGATTCCCAACTCGTCCCAGCTTTCCTCATCCACTCCGTTGTAGATACCATTGTTGTTTACTATGATGAAGACGATTGGCAGATTATACCTGGGTTGACGGAAAAAAAGTGAAATTTATAAAAAAAGAAAAAAAAACTCGACCACAACTAAAAGGTCCCTTAACGCTTAGCTTAAATGGTGCTTCTCCTTCAAAACTGCTGTAGACTTTTTTTGGTGTTAGTCGTCAGAATTTTGTGGAACATCTTTATTAAGTAGAAAGTAAAGCAGTGGATAACGTTGAAGGCGCTATGCTATTCACCTCCGGGAAACTCGCACGGGATTTGCGCCCGGAAATATTGTAATCGTTGCAAGAATAAATGAGTTAAAATCATCTTTTTGTGATATATTATCTCATTTTTTTTTGTTTTATACTAAAACAACTATTCACCTCAGTGTAAGTGTCCACCTTGGAAAATCCATTGTTTGTTGGTTTTTTTTCAAATTCTTAACACCCGCACGCTAAACAGTGTATTGATATTACAAGAAGACAACAGATGCTGATCTTTAAATGTTTATTGCTGTACGATACCTGCATGCAGTTTCAAGCTCCATTCCTGAGAAACCAAAAGCACTGTCGCCTTGGACGCACACCACCCTCCTGGGGGGATTTTTGTCATCAGCTTCGGACTCAGCTAACAGAGCAGCAGCGATGGCAAAACCAGTTCCCACTCCCATTGTACCAAACGTGCCCGCATCTAGCCTGGGATGAAACGCAGGGAAATATTTACAAAGTGTAAGCTGAGGAAGTCAATCGATGTAATTTAACATAACAATAGTTTGGGCACAAAAACTCGTCTGAGTTGGAATTTCTCTCCTTAGGATTCGATTTCTTTATGTGCGGGTTTGAAATTCACATTAGATGATGCGGTAGCCTGGCGCATTTTACTCTTGATTGAGCAATTTTCAATCTAGTGTCAACAGTAATCCAGGACTGCTTTGGTTTTGCTTTACGTCGCTATGTGATTGGTTCAGAAAACTCACGCCACTTTCTCGACCAGTCAGATTCAAAACTAAAACCAAAGGCGACTCGGCCACGTAAGTTTTCCCGTGGTTCACTTGTTTTTACTTTGAAATTAATTTGTCTCTTGTTCCGATTGGCCGTTGTATTCACTTTGGTTTAACCCTGTACACCCTAACATCAGTATGCACATTCTCCATACTGTTATCTAATACATTTCTTAAGGTGCTGACAAGGAGAATTTGTTCAACAATCAAGAGCTTCTTTAGTTGGTGATTATTTCCTATATTCTGATGATCTCAAATGAATGAATTAGCAGTATTATTGTAAGGAGAAACTAGATGCTGTTCAATCTTAGGGTTTAAAAGGTTAAGTTTCGACGGTGTTGGTTTAATAGTGTCTTGTCTAGACTGTTCATGTAAAGTAATAAGTCTCTGAGTAACTACAAAGTTAAAACAGATTTACGACAGATTTTGAAAACAAAAAAAGAATGAAATTACATCATACCTGTTTCGAGGGAGGTGATTGGGTATCATGGTTCGTCCAATGTCCATTGTGTTTGCTCCTTCGTTAACTACAACACAGTCACGCGGTAAACGCTTTATGAGCTAGAAAATGTAGAAAAGTGCCAGTTTCAATTCAGCGAAATTCCTTACCTCCCGTTTTCCAGGAAAAGTATATTCCTGTGCTTCAAACTCGTTCACTCCTCCACCACCAAGCTATGTAACAATGCCTCGCTGTGCAGAATGCAAGACCATATAAGGCCACTAGGACTATTTGTAAGAGTACTGGTACTCATTTAATTACATGTAACAGTCCATATGGACAGGGAGGTAAATGAAATGTTCAGTTTCATGGCTAGTGAGCTAGAATCCGTTTCTAGAGGTCTGGGTTGAAGTCTTGGGCAACTCAATGCTTCTAATGGCCTAGAAGTATTTATAGGTAAAAACCTGGCAATTTAGTAAGGATCCCAGCTAAGTGCAGAAGGAATACTTCTGGTCGTCTTATGCCAGGGAAGCTGAGATCATATTTGGCAATATGGACCACCACGCTTGCACGATGATTTTAAAAATATGAATATTCCACTTACCTGACCATAAACTTGGTAGTAATTCATTGGAACAGAAGTCTCGTTGGCAAGTTCCTGTTGAAATATAAATTCATACTATGAGCAAAATTTGATAAAGTGCTGTAAAACCAATACTTAAAAGAGCAACTTTGAACTCAAAGTAGAAAAAATAAACAAAGACAATACCTATACCTCATTGACTTGCTTGTTTGTTTCTGACTTTTCCTTGAGTTCTTTTCTCCAGCTGGGGGAACCACATGGGTTTGCTAGATCTTCTCCAAATTTCCTCTTTACTGCTTCTCCTAGCTACAGACAAAAATAACTTGCCATGAATTCTCAAATAGTGGAACTTGTGGGTTCACCAAGACACTTCATCAGACACAATTTAAGAATGGACAAAAAGTTTATCAGGTTTCAAAATACAGGCTTTATCAGACCCCACTGAGAGTTGCAGTTCTTATTGATCAAACTAAAACAAAACAAGAGGGGTTTTAACCCTTTAATTCCCAAATCAAATTTTTAATTCTCCTCACTGTCAACCATACAATTCTTATAATGTTTGTTCGGAGAATTTAGTATTGGATCAACTAATTATCCCCAAATTGATATTTTTCTTTATTCTCATCAGTAATCTAGTTGATATTGTATTGATATTGTAAGGAGATTCTGCCTTGGTCACTCATGGGAGAAATAAGGTTGAGGTGCTACATAACGGCATTTTTCAATCTTATTGGAAGTGCCATGGCCTGACCATTGGCACACCTGAATCTGTGTCCAGAGGTGCAAGACCTGGTCTACTCATCGCATTGTGATCTTGGCAAGATAATTTAGCCACACAGTGCCTCTCTTCACCCAGGAATATAAATGGATAGCAGCCAACATTTAGAAACCTAAAAAAAATGCTGAGGGGTAATCAACAATCAAAAAGCATCCCATCCAAGGAGAAGTACCAAAACTCCTTGTCTTTTTGTGCATTGGAGACTGGGATAAGTTTTGATGCCATGTGGGCTACTTGACTCAAGCCCAGACCTTTTTCTTAGCCCTTAAATAGTATGACACCTAGAGTTTTTGAATGTATAGGTAAAGCAAAGAAGAAGGAATAAACCAAAATGGGAAACAAGAGGTTAAGGATGGCTAAAATGAATTCTTTACACCAAAACATCAGTTTGTATAATCTCCATACTGTTTTTTTTTATATTTCCCAAGGTGCTGACAAGGAAGATTGGATTAACAATGAAGAGTTTTTTTGGTTCATGATCATTTCCTATATTCTTGTCACCTCAATGTTTGTTTCAGGGGTGATAAGGTAAAGAGAAATTGGATGCTAGTCACTCTTGAGGCTTACAGGCTTTTCAAGGAGGCCAAGAGAGAACTTTGAAAAGTTTAAGCCACACATCTAAAGCTGTACCTACCAATACATATTAGAGACAAAGACTTTTTGAGGAGCTACAAGCTAATCATACAGGCGTACCTGTTCTGCTACTCTGTTTAAATCTCCCAAAAGCACAACCTCTGCACGTACATTGTTATTCATTTCCTCTGCATGGAGATCAATCTAGAGAAAAACAAAAGTTGAGCAACAATCCACACTAAACAAGAAAGTCACTGAATGGTATAATTGTATTCCTTAATTTTAACTATGACAGTTGTATTTAAATGGTTACATAAGATTTCAAAATCCATTTGGAGCGACACTAATTGAATTAAGATGGCTCATGCAAATTAAGATAAGGGTATATTTCAACCCTTTAACTCCCAAGATCTGATTGTTAATTCCCCCCTCTAGCTGCTACACATTTCCTTGTACATAAGTCACGAGAACTTGGTGTTACATCAAGTAAATGTCTACCTGATAAGTTTGAGTATTATCATAACCTGTTTGCTAGAAAATGTATGGATAAGTATTTACTGACAGCTTATTTGAATTATATACCTGTATTATTTTAACATCAGGCCTAAATCTTGGTGGTTTCCCAAAATGAAGAATCCAGTTCAATCTTGCACCAAACAGAAAGATCACATCAGCTTGAGATAAGGCTCTGAGGACAAAAGTATATATGAGCATAAGGAATATTAATGTGGCTAGAACAATTAACAATTATTGGCCAAAGACAAAGTGAATATTGTTGAATAGTCCTAGCGATGAAGTTGAGGAGATTATTCAACAATGTTCACTAAGTCAGAGGCAAACAGTTGTTTTGGTGTAATTGCTCAGACAGGTGCTTCCCAATTCTGTTGTAAATTCATTGTGTTGTTAGCACCATTCTGTTTCTATCGTCTTAGTCACTTTTATTGAATTGAGATAAGCAGCCAGTCTCCATTAGAATTTAACAGGTTTATCTTTTAATTCAATCAGGTTTATCTTTTAATTCAATCAGGTTTATCTTTTAATTCAATCAGGTTTATCTAATTCAATCAGGTTTATCTAATTCAATCTGCAAATGTGTGACCTCAAGCCTGGTTGTATGTGTATGGTTAGTTTTGTGCTCTTTGGAATTTTCTTCTATTGTATTTATCCCTGCCTCCATGACAATGACAAAACATGAGGTGACTTGTTAAGAAGACAGTAACTGAACTAGCATGGTGTGCAATCAGCGTGCATGCATGTGGGCTCCGAGACATTTTCAATATGTAAGCTCATAAGCAAAGTGACACATGCAATAATATTATAGCATGTGTGCATTTAGTTTTTGCGAGCCATATTTTTGAGGACTTGTTACCAAGTTTTATTATAAGCTGTGTCACTGTATTGAGGTTGTTTTGGCTGATTAAACATGGACTTGTTTTCCAAAGGGTTTTCTGTAATTGCTTAAGGACATGACTAAAGCAAGATTGATGCAATCCTCAACCAATAAGAGTGCCTGTATCCCTTTAATCACCGTAAGAATCATACCAAATGCTTTTAGCCATTGCTGAGATATCAATGATAACTGAATGAGTGAGCAGTAAGCTTGTTCCTTGCATAAAAATCTCCTATTGTAGAAATTCCTGAAGTTTGTATCTCAAAGGAAACTTGCCTTTTTTCCTTGGGAAAAATGTGATATCTTCCTAGTTTATATTTATCATAACTGTATAGTAATAGCTTGTATTTCATGTTATTCATAAACAATAACTAGAGGTACTTACCTTGATCTTGCTGCAGCTACACAGAGGGGATGTTCATCAGAAATCACTCCCTTCCCCATGGGGGTGGGGAGAAATGGCAACTTGCATCTCTCTACAAATTCCTGGAGAGGTTTCTCAGCATGTGCATATGCAGCACCTGCAAAAGGAAATTGAATATCCAATATGAATACTGACTATACAATTGAAGAGGTCAGACTGTTGTAGATTGTGTAATAAACCCTTTACACCCTAATTTCAGTATGTATATCCTCCATACTGTTCTCTATACATTTCCTAAGGTGCTGACAAGGAGAATTTGGTTAACAATCAGGAGCCTCTTAGGTTGGTGATCATTTCATTTATTCTTGTGAATTTACTGTTTGATTCAAAGGTGATATTGTAAGGAGAAATTAGATGCTAATCACTCTATAGAGTTAGAGAGGTTTAGAACAAAATGCAGCTAACAAATGATATTTGGATATAATAATTCCTGACTCTTGCATACCCAGCTCTCCTAAGTCCATATGATTACACATCACTTATCTGAAGAAAAAGTTACCAGTTTGTAAGAAGTGTGGCATTTTTTGTCACTCTTTTACACCAGGTACAATGAACACAGCAGACAGCTCTTAACCCTTTAACCCCTAAGAGTGACTAGCATCTAATTTCTCCTTACAATATCACTTCTGAATCAAACATTAAGGTCATGAGAATAGAGGACATGATTACCAACTAAATAAGCTCTTGATTGTTCAACAAATTCTCTTTCTTAACTCCTTAAGAAATGTATGAAGAACAGTATGGAGAATAGACATACTGATGTTTGGGTGTAAAGGGTTAAAATGGGTATCTGGAACTTTAAATTTCACCTTTTACACCTTAACATCAGTATGTATATTCTCCATACTGTTCTCTATACATTTCCTAAGGTGCTGACAAGGAGAATTGGTTCATCAATCAATTGAATATTTAGTTGGTGATCATTCCTTTATTCTCATGACCTTACTGTGTGATACAGGGGTTAAACTGTTGGGAGAAATTAGATGCTAGTCACTCTCAGGGGTTAAAAGGTTAAAATATTTTCTTTCCCTTAAAAATTTGGTCTCTTTACGTCCAGCAATAGATCCAACCAAATCATTTCTTCTTTAGCATTAAAGAAAAGTTAATTGGAAGTTTTTTTTTTAGCTTGTACCTTTTCCAATTATAACTAGAGGTTTTCTTGCTTCACTGAGAACCTGAACAGCTTTGTCAACAGCAAATGGATCGGCTAGACACTTGGGTGGAGGAGGTGAACAGCAAATTTTCCTGAGTGTGAAAAAACATTTCCACTGTTTAATCAAAGTCAAACTACAGATTTTAGGCCTCTGAGGTACAATTTACCACATTTACCAACTTTGAATTTAATGTTAGAAGCAAAATGTACATAAAAATATCAATTTAAGCCTCAAATGCTACTTGGTTTAAAAAAAAAGAAAATAAAATATAGTTTTTTATGACTGAAACCAAATGTGATTCTTTAAATTCATGGAACATCAAGCTATCAAACTGAAGCTCCTGTAAAAGAATCTCAAGTACATTGACTTGTGATAAACTCTATGTCAATTGCTTACAGTAGCCTAATGATTTTCTCGGAGTCTTTTTTCTCTTAAGTATTTTAATGATTTACAAGTTAAAACAGTTCAAACTTTAATCACCTATCTATCCTACAGCATACTTATACTACCCTTGAACAACTTTACATTGTGTGTACTGCTAGTCACCTTGCCTTGCAGGCTGCAACCTTCTCTGTAATCATATTCCCTGGTAAGTCCAGATAACATGCACCAGGTCTTCCATACATACTTGTCCGCACTGCCTATTAATAAAATTATAGCATAAAAAGTCACAAAAAATAATCAGTAATAAAACGTTACCTGATTTCTAAAAGTTGATGTAATCTTTCAGAGAAGTTTAATTATCTGCTGAACTACAAAATATTAAAAAATACTGCAAAATTGCAGCAAAAGTTCTACTATTGCTGTTGAAGTATCTTTTCTAGGAGGAAGTTGACAGACCCAGAAAGATGGACTTTTCCACATCTTCCTAAAATAAATGAATCTGCCTTCTTTACCTTTTCAACAAAGAATGGTATCACTCCTACACTGCTTGGTCTTGCTGAATACTTGCTGTAAGGTCTTGCTGCTTCAACCTGGGATAATAAGTGAGGAGTTCTTGGCAATTGAAAACACTGGTCTACAGAAAGTTGATCAAATACAAGGGGTTTCACCATAATGGAGTAGCAATCTAACCTGCATGACAAGAAGCAGTTACAATAAAAGTAACTTATACTAGTTTCATCTAATAGAAATATTCCAAAAAAAAACAACAGAAAGTGTGATAATCTATAAAAGTGCTAGGCAGGTAGATTTGTAATGCTGAAAACACCTAGTTCTTAAAAAAATATATTACTGAACATAACATGGCTACCACAAAAAAGAGAAGTACCCAGAAGAACAATGCATGTATATAAAGCTAGCACATATGAGAGAGGAATATTGATTTCAATTGTCTGTATTATTTGATATTCATAAAAGCTTAAATAGGAAGAACATTTCATATAGGGTGCAGAAAAGAATAAATTAACTCCCATGACTGACCAAGAGAGAATTTCTCCTTACAATATCAACACAGTGTCAAGCAGTCAAGTGATGAGAGTAAAGAAAAACATCCATTAGTTGATTATTAGTTGATCCAACACCAAATTCTCCAAACTGACATCATAAGAATTGTAAAGCAGACTGTGATGAGAATTACTAATGAGATCTTGGGAGTGAAAGGGTTAAGTTGCCTGTCTTGTGAGTAGGTTTTTTTTCTTTCTTTTTTCATGATTATTGCAAACAGTGCTTTTTCAAACCACTGTACCCTAAATAAAATGCACAAGAGAAGTATTGAGTACTTACAAACCTGTGGAAATTCTTGAAAAGCACCCATGCTTTCTTGATCAACATCACTTGACCCACCGATCACTAACACAGGCCTGAAGAACAATCATTCAATATCCTTCACACCCTAACATCAGTATGCATATTCTCCATACTGCTTTCCACACATTTCTTTACATGTTGACAAGGAGAATTTGTTTAAAAGCCAAAAGCTTCTTTAGACCATTTCCTTAAGTTAATTCTTGTGCTGTTAATTTTTGATTCAGGGGTAATCACGTACCAAGAGATGAGATGCTAGTCACTCAGGTCAAAAAAAAACTTACCAGCAGTTACTCATTGCATTTGCCATTCCTCCAAGAGCATGCAATAATCCTGGACCAGAAACTACAAGACAAACACCAGGTCTGCAAACAACCATTCAGTTAGATCATAAATGAACATGAACCTGTATCCTGTGGGTATTTTTTTTTTCATCCTAGTTTCAATGCCTTAAGTATCACTTTTAAATACTTATAATGGTTTACAGAATTACAGACAAACTGTGCAATTATGGAGGGTAGGGACAGTAAAGTGCTGAAAATCCTCTCATTCCATGGCTTTACCCTTAAACTCTAAGATGTGATTGACATGTAACTTTTCCTTATAAAATCCATTCATTATTCAGCAAACAGGTAATGGGAATACTCAAACTTGTCAGGAAGAAGTTGTCACCTTGACCTAGCACCCAATTCTTATAACTAATTTACAAGGAAATTGGTAACAGCTAAAGAGGAGGATTTACAATCAGATCTTGGGAGTTAAAAGATTAAGCAAGAGTTTGAAGCCATGACCCAATGACACATGAGGGTTGAGTACGTTCTTGGTTCTCATCCTTGGTTAGGATGTTGTCAATCATGCAGTAAGCAGCTATGTAGCTCATTCAACCAAACAAAATTGTGCCCATGAGAAAGGAGTTCATGTCCAACCAGACGACTAGGAATGCCAGTGAGGCTGCGATTCTATTGCTTGGTAACCTATATAGCTGATGTGATGTAATGTGAAGATAATCTATAACACCTTTTTTTTCTCCAGGTAAACTGATTTTCCTCCCAACGCAAACACCAATATTTCTCTTAACCAAATTTCAATTAATTCCAATGTAAGGGACAGAGGAGTACCCAAGCTAAAATCAGTGTACTCCACCTTTCTACCATTAACCCTTTACACCCTGACATCAGTATGCATATTCTCCATACTGTTTTCTACACATTTCCTAAGGTGCTGACAAGGAGAATTTGTTTAACAATCAAGAGCTTCTTTACTCGGTGATCAGTTCCTTTATTCTCCTGACCTTAATGTTTGATTCAGGGTGATATGGTGAGGAGAAATTAGATGCCAGTCACTCTTAGGGGTTAAAAGGTTAAGCTATTGGTAAGATGGTACTTGTCTATCAACTCTTTACATCCTGACATCGCTATCCAAGTCCATATTCTCCATACTCTTCTCTATACATTTTCTTTGGTACTGATGAGGAGAATTTGTGTAATAATCAAAACTTTGATTGGTGATCATTTCTTTAATCTTTTGATCACATGGAAACATTCCACAATGTTTTGGTAATGAGAAATTGGATATTGGTCACCTTTAGGGCTTAAAGTATTAAATCTGCACTATTATAACTTAGCTTCTTTATGTTTTGGCTCAATACATGGTAATTTGTGGTCGTTCTGAATTTGGCATTTAAGATAAATTATTCCTCAAGGTTTTTTTTCCCTATCTCTCATTTTCATGGGTTCAAAAGAGCCCATGGAATATTGCAAAGTAAAATCCTTGGATGGTAAATTCAGTGATTGATAGAAAACAAACTGAATATCTTACCGTCCAGTCAAATATCCAACCGCTGATGCCGCATAACACGCCTGTAAAGATAAGTTCACTCATGTTATCCAAATTATACTTAGATCAGACAAACTGTACCCTGCATCAGGCGTCCCTATCTTGAAAAAAAGGGAGGGAGAGGGGGGAGATTGTGTGTATAACAGCGTTTAGTAGGTGTGGGAGCGCGTGACAGTGACTAACAGGGTGGAGGGGGAGGGTGATGGGGGAGATTGTGTGAATAACTGCAGAACAGTCGACCTCCGATTCTTGCGCTGCTACACGAGAAACGCCTAATCACAAGTTAGACTACTTGCAATGGTGGTGCTTTAAGGAAAAGTTCCTCACCAATCACTTACCGCTTGTTCGTTTCTCATACCAATGTATTTGATTCCCTCTGCTTGCGCTGCCCCTGCTATCTCTATGACTGGTATTCCTACAACTCCAAACATGTATTCCACACCTTGAATCTTCAGGGCAGACGCTAGCAGCGATGCACCTGAGAGGGACTCCTCATTATCAGTTACTTCTACGAAGTCTCGATCCGCCATTTCGATTACACCACTAAGAAGGCAAATGTTGTAGTCTTACACCCCGTACTGGCAAAACACCTGCTTAACCGCTGACTAAAAATTAACCCCAACTGCAAAGTCGCGTTGTTAATATTCATAAAAATAATGAAATAATAGATTAGATTTGAACAAAATTCAGGACTGTACAGGTTTTAAACCCATGACCCATGACCTCTGCGATACCAAGCTGCACTGGTATCGCAAAGGTCATGGGTTCAAATTCCGTAGAGGCCTGAAATTTTTTCAGGCCTTATTTTCATCACTACTTAAGAAGTGTTCATAACTGCGAGGATTACATCCTTATTCGTTTCTTCAACCGCATATGATTTTCATATATTTACAATCAATAGATTCTTATTTATTATGTCCACCTGTTGACTAACCTGATCTTGTCCCCAGTCTCCTCTTTTCTTCTTTGGAGCAAATAAGAGAGAGAAACCCGGGAACAAGGCTGCGTCTACAAGATGGCGTCCTATGTAGGTTGACTTTGGTAACCCTGTCTAGAAGCAAATCACTGTGGAACACATATTAACTTCAGAGGTAAGAGTAGAAATGTTCAATTTATCTTTTTACTCCACGATGACAATAGCAGTTAATAAGGACGTTTTTTTTTACATTTAGTTATTGCTACAGAAGTCAAGTTACTTTACGTGATATTGTCTACTCGCAGATCGAGGTTACAGAGCTAGTTTATCAATTCAGATACATTTTGAGCCTGTAAAAAGGACTTAAGACTTATTGCACGGCAGAATATTTTTGTCTTAGCGGAGTGAGAGTAGAAGTTTTAGGTATGCATAAACAATAGCCTATTAACATGTTTAAACAATTGCGAAAACTAGGCCTGACAGAAAAAAACCCAGGCTCTAACAGCATTCGAACCCGTGCCTCCCAGATACTAGTTGGGCGCAAGCTGGGCGCTATTACTAACTGAGCTACGAAGCACGCGCAACCTATTTCGTGAACGAAGGTTTGGAGTAACCTTGGTAAAATTTCCGCACAGCCCCATACTATTGTAAAACAAATCTGTTTTCCCAATGGAAATGTATTGTTTTTGTCATTGTTTTCTCTATATTCAAGAACTGAATGCATAATGAAGTATGGGTCTGTGTGGACATTTTACTATAACCTTAATTAGGCTGATACGCCCAATGACATATGAGAGGGTGTCCTCACAATAAAAAAAGTAGATAAATGTACATATTTTGAACTATGAGATCAATTTTTATGATTATTATGTTGGGAAAAGAACATATGAGTGTATTTTGAGCAAAGTGAGGATTTGTTTTCTTAAATTAAAGACAAAAAACTTGAACATAAACTGGCTATATTAAACAATTAGAAAATTTCTATATCCCATTGAGGGGACTTGGTGTATGTGTGTAGGTCTAAGTTGGTATTAAGCCTTTATCTTTGACATTTTTATCAAAATATTTGTTATTGCCTTTAACCCTTTGACCCCCAAGATCTGATTGTTAATTCTCCCTTCTAGCTGCAACACGTTTCCTTGTAAATTTGTTGCAAGAATTTGGTGTTGGATCAATATAATATTATTATAAGAAAACACAATCTATATCTAGATGCAAGTTTACTTCGTTTCAAATAATTTTGCACACAATCATTACTACTTTATTCAAATTCCTTCAACAGCTTACCATTTCTTCGTTTTTCAAGCATTAAGCATCCAGGTTTGTAAGCCTGTAAACCAACTGTCAAATTTTTTGGTAGATTAGTTAATATATCAACTTCAAACATTTGGAACCCCAAGTGTGTTGGCTAATCAGAGCAAAGGTAATTATTGTATAACCACGCCTTGTCACATGCGATTGCGAGGAACGTTCATCGAGTGAAGACAGTCAAACTTCTGATTGTAATACTCTTGTTAGATGGCATCGGTTCAGTGAGTTGACCTTGTTGTCGACTTTAGTAACATCACATTGAAGCAAATCATTTTGGAAAACATATAAACTTGTAAGGTATCAGCAGAATGTTAAATTCAGCTTATTACCTACGATGGCAGTAGTGGCTGGGTATGTATCTAAATATGAGACGTTTTGGTTTGAAGTATCAGTGAGTATTTTTACGCGTCGTGCCAACAACACTCATTAAAGTGCTCGGCGTTACTACCCACCAAAAGTTTTTAATATTGAATAAGCTATTTAATTTCCAACGGCCATAGTTTCTCAATTGAATTTCGTCGGCAGCTGAGCTATGAATTAATTTCAGAGGCTTCACTTTACTAAACCACGATAGGGCACTAGAGGAAACAATCAAAAGAACCAGAATAGTTTGTTTTCATTTTAAATTTAATATGTAATGTCTCAACTCTGAAAATGTTTCCACTGCCATTAGGCATATCTTGAACAAAAAGGATATCTCAATGAAACCAATGTTGGGAAAGTAACATTTTTTTTAGTAGTTATCAAGTACACAATGATGCTCCCAGGTAAACTGCAATTTATGCAATTGCAGAAAGTAGGTTTTGTAGGTTTTGACTCGAATTAAACTTGTGCCTTCCAGATAGTAATAACTGAGCTATGAAGGGCACACACCAATATTTTTTAATGAATGTACCATGGAAGGTTTGGATCGATGAATAGTTGGCAAATCCCCTTTTTTTTTTTAGACTGATGACTGTATGTCACTTTGTCACACAGTGAGCTTCTTAAGCTATGAATTATCATAACTATTACTATTATTATTATTATTTTAGATTTTATTATGTTATTATTTTAAGTTTTAGGTTTAATAGATTTCCCCGTATTTTTTCTTCACTTGAGAACCTAACCAGAGGTTGCGGTGCGCTGGCTAATCGTAGCAAATCAAATTATTGTGTAACGAAGTTCTGTCACATGCGATTACGAGAAACGTTCATCGAGTGACGACAGTTAAACTTCTGATTGTAATACTCCTGCGGACGTGGTGAGAACAGAGTATCTCAAGGGAATTTTGAAAACTAAGACTGTTCTTAAAATAAGATGATATACGGGCAGCGTAGGTAGGTATGATGCGTGAGAAAGCTCCTAGTCCAAATGCTCAATCTTGTTCCCAGTGTCCTCTCTTCCCTGTTCAAATGAACCACCCAGGGGAACCTGTGAGAGAGGCGGCAGTTACAAGATAACGTCGGTTAGGTGAGGAGACTTTGAGGCGAATCACTTTAGAAAATATATGAACTGGTAAGGTATGAGTATAATGTTAAATTAAGCTTACTGCCCACGATGGCAGTAGTGGTTGGGTATATACCTAAATATTTTGTATTCATCTGGGTTCCTTTTTCAAACCCGATGACGTTGCCGCCATCAATGAAAAGAACTGAAGTAGTTTGTTTTCATTTTAAATTTCCTTTGGAATGTCACTACTGTTAAAATGTTTCCATTGCCATTAAGCATATCTTGAACCAAATGGATATCTCAATGAAACCAATGTTTCAGCAGCGATGCTCTCAGGTAAACTGCAATTTAAGCAATTGCAGAAAAGGAAGACAAAAGATGTAGGTTTTGACTTCATTCAAACCTGTGCCTCCCAGATACTACTAAGTGAACTGTGAAGAGCACATACCTATCTTTATTCGTGAACGCACCATGGAAAGTTTGGATTGATGAATAGTTAGCAAATCCTTCTCCTTTTAAGATGGCTGTCCCTTTGTCACCCAAAAGCATATGAGAGAGTTTCCTTACTAAAGAAATGTACACTTAATAAGTTATTTGGGCAACAGGTAATTTGTATGAATGTATGTTGATGAAAGCAAGGTTCAAAATAACAGCCAGCTACCGGCGGCACCCGGAACTTTTAGCACACTTATCAGCGATTTTTCACCCGAAGAACTGGAATTTTATATCAAAATATTATGCTTCCTGATCGTCCAACTGAAGTTAAAGTCGCTGTCATGCCATGGTGAACATTTCATGCTAGGCAATTAAGCAGTCAAGAAATGCGCTAAAAGCTTTTCGGAAACGTAAACGAGTATAAAGTTTCGAAATTTGAAGCCTGCAACAGAGAGTATTTTTGTTTACAGTATTCAGCTTTTCTACGTATTTGTTCAAGCGTGAAACATGCAAGTTTGGTTATACACTGTCACATTACCGTGTTTACGTATCTGCACTTACATACTACCTTTAATCAAGATTTATTTTCTGCCAAATCCAGTTCAATGTCGTGTGCAAAGCCCTCTTACGCGTTCAAATTAAAGTCGGTACTGGACAGTACGGATTTCCCATGGAAAAGTGCGACAATTTGTCTCGACAAAGTTGTATATTTCACGCTTGAACAAACACCAAAATATTGAGTCGTTTGCAACGTTTTCTTAGAAAAGGAATTGCTTATTATTTTAAGCAATTTAAGGTAATTATTCCTTTCAGTACTGTTAATAAATCATGTTGAGTGTTGAAGACATGTGCTGACTGCCCATTTATTATTGACAGTTAGGAAAACAATGAGCCTTGACAAAAGCCTACAAATTCACGCTAAAAGTTGAAAAATTATTTTCAACCCTGAAAAGTTATGGTTTTACTTCGAGTGAAAGACCAAAACCTTTAAGATAAAAAACAGGTAAAATTATACAGTTAGGAAACGTTTATACTCATCGATAGGGTTTGATGTAGGAGTGTTGATGAAAGAAGGTAATTTTTTCTATTTCTATGGCTATTACCTCATATAGGAGGCGAAGCCACACATGTCGTTGAAGTGAGTCAGTGAGTTAGTAGTTTCCTGGTGCTACTGATTGTTTATTTCAGAGCACTAAAGAAGACGATAAACATATTAAAATCATCTCAGTATGGTGCGTAAAAAATTAAAGCATTTCCTTGCAGGAATATCTTTGAAGGTGTGATTGGGGCATATAAAGGAATTTCCTTTCGGTCAAGAGAAAGCATTTTAATGCTTGAATTAGGGAATTAAGCCCAGTAGATTGGAAAGTGAAGTTTTTTTTTTAGTCCTTACTGTGACACTACACATGATGATAAAATCTCTCAAAATAATTTTACACTGGTGTCT